TTCAGCTTTTGCTGCGGATGATCGATGACCTTGTTACCCAATTGATCTCTGACATCTCTAATGATCGTTCGACTCCACTCTTTTGAGCATCATTTGTGGACGAACGATTTGGATGTGTTCACAAGCTGTCTTTTATGAAGATCTACTCAAATCCGACTCCAAGGTGAACGATCTTTGATTTGTAATCATTAAGATCATAATCATCTCCACTTAGTTGCAGAAAGACATCAAGATCGGATCATTCTCATCGCCAGAATAAGGCGCGCCTGTGGCTCTTTGACTCTTTGAGCAGCGCGCTTTGAAAATACGTCTTCAAGAGTCCCGGGTATCTTTAAATCGAGCAACGTGTGCCCCAGCTCCCCAAACATCGATTGGTAATTGAATTGGAATCAGTTTTGTGTTCGATTTGAAGATCTAACGATCGTTAAATGATTCGAAGCTGGCAAGATAGGGATCTTTCTTTCAAGGTTCTTTAAGCTTCTTCTTCAGCTTCAGTAAAAAGTACTCGGGATTCCGCGAAGAAAGAGCGTCCACTATCTTTCTCTTAGTTTCATAGACATGCAACAGCACTCCTCGGTCATTTGGGTATCTGTATCTGACGTGTGTAACAGGCTTCGTTCCTCCCTGGATACCATCTTTTGGATTGTTTCCCCCACTTTTTGTGTTTCGGGTGCAAAATCTTCAGCGCTGGAACTGTTTATTCATTCTCCAATAATAGCCATTCTTTGATTGCTGCAAAACGTGGCTCGTGGCCTCGTAGCTCCTTTGATTCATTCGTCTACGAGTACACGAGTACACGAGCGAGCGATTCTTTTCCTACGTCATAAATTCAAGGCAATCGAAGAAATCCGAATGCGAATGCGATGTGGTGCTCCCTCCTTTTCTGCGGGGGCTGTGGGGAACGGGTTCGAGGTTTTTTCAATTAAAAAATCTTCAGTGTTGCGGTGCGCGTCGGTGCGTATTGTTGTACACTTGATAAGCGGGTTTATTTATAGACTTAATGCTGCTGCTGCTGCTGCTGCTGGTGCCGCTTCAGCGGCTGATAAGTCGCGAAATCTTTATTCTCAAAGGCACGAAATGAATTTTTGGCAATACAAAACGGAGGTGGGGTGGGTTCAGTGGGTTCAGTGTCCTTTGGAACCGCTGGATGGATGCATGCCCGCCGTGGAGGACAGGTACTTGTCGAACAGGTACTCCCCCAGATCGTCCTTGGCCCGCTCCATTTGCCGTATGTACTCCGCGAGGACCTTCTGGCCGTCGACCTGCTCCTGCAGGAAGTTCGCCTCGATGAAGTCGCACAGATTGGGATCGTTCTCCTGCCCGGCCAAGGCGTGCACGTCGAGGAGGTGCTGATTGACCTCCAGCTCCATTTCCAGGGCATGCTTCAGGCCGGCCAGGGTGTCGGCAAAGCAGGGTATCGGCTCTGGAACGGCACTCAGGCGGACGAGGCCGCCCCGCTTGTTCATGTACTTCATGATCTTCTCGGCATGCTCGCGCTCCTCGTTGCTGGCCTGCAGAAAGAACCTGTGGACGCCCGGGGAGCTCACATCGGCCCGATCGTAGTGGAAGGCCTGTCGGTGAGGAGGGGAGCGGGGGGGATTGGTGGCTCTGCTTTTGGACAGACCTCTGATCTCCCTTACCATTGCCAAATACTGGTGGCAGGCCTTTAGCTCCATGTTGATCTGATCGTTTAGTTTTTTCTCGCAGCTTTTGGCAAAATTTTGACGCATTATCATGGACATGTGGCGACGCCCAAAGAAACCGAAAAGTAGCGCCATCGCCAGAAAGTAAAACTCCAAATTTTTCTATCGAATTGTAAATCGAAAACCAGAATCTGTCAGGGGGGAATGTGGGTCGGGCAGGATAGACAGGTGCCTAGATCTGGCCATCGATCGTTGGAGTTCAAAGTGCCCCGAGACACGGGGTCTCGTCTCTGATTTCACTTGAACGTCTATCCGTCTGTCTGTCTGCTTAGCCACTTAGACCCCTGTGTGCCGTGTGGCTGGCTGTGTGTGTCTGTGTGTGTCCCTCTCGACTCTCTTACACGTCTGTGGCACCATTATACGGACAGATGGATATGTACGTGTATATACACTCGTACTACGGGTAATACTTACTCTCGGATCTCTCTGTTTGCGGCGGGCAAACGCAGTTATTGTCTCTTTTATTAAGTGAATGAAAAAAAAAAAAAACAAAAACAAAAACGAAAACGACTTTTGTCCGAGTATAATCTTGCCATACACTTGGCGGAAAGGGTAGCACCGTCACAGCTAGGGGTTTGCATCCACAGGAATATCTGTACTCGAACTAGAGGCTTCTTCAATGGTTTACTGATATCTTCGATGATCAATGAGTAACCATTTATTTTCCTGCTCAAATATCTGTGAAAATGTCCTCCTTCAAGTGGTCTTTCGCCATTACAGGGTATTTGCCAGTTGCCAAGACCCTCCCCCCACCCCAAAAGGCAGAGTTTCAATTTTCAAAATGCGAATGCGAATGCGAACGAGTTTCAAACATTATCTCTCGGTCTGTCCATCCATCCATCCAACCATCACAACCTTCCGTCTGGTCGGACACATGGGCACACACACACACACACACACACACACTCACACACACTCTCACACAAATAATTACACAGACACTTTACGCACATTAAAAAAAAAAATACAAAAAATATGTATATACAAAAAAGTGACTCTTGAAACTCCATGTGCGACTCGTAAAAAGCCCATTATAATCGCCAAGAAACTCAAGTAAGCATTTTCCCCTCCCCTCCATTCCCCTCCCTTCCCTCCTCGTCTCGAAAAGACGATCCGATCCGATCCGAACCGCAACGCGGGTTATGCAAATCGTGGATTCGAGTCCGCGAGCAGCGATTTTCGGGCCCACAAAGGCGAGAGGATTTGGCAATTATTTCAGGGTAGAGCACGTACATTTGTCCCTGAAATCTATGATGTAGAATAGATCAGAAATACTTGAGATTCAGCCAAAAGGTAGACCCCAATCGGCCACAATAATCCCTCAAAGTCAGTCCATTCTACCTGAATTTCTGAATTGGAAGACTCAACTTTTAAGAGAAGGAATCTTTATCTAGGTCGTCTCGGGCGCTACGAAGGGGATGACCACATTCGAGTTTCAGGGAAATCTGTTTTCGTATTCCACACGCGGCGACAATCGAAAAGTGTTCGACATCCCCAGCGACACATTAATGTCACTTTTATTTCCCCCTTAAATGGAGGCAAGAAATCAGTTCCAACAACAAAAACGTGCAACAAATTATTAAACTTCGGCGGACAGTAATTTTTGATTGCACGTCGGATAAAACGCAAACGTTGGCATATCCACAAAAGGAACACCAGAAAGACACACTCGTAATATGCCGAACACGAGGAGAGAAAACCTCACGGCATATGGAAAATATTCAATCGATTTGCAGCTCTTCATGGGACCCGTGTCCACTGGGAGGGATGAGTATGCCGGGCAATGGATAGTGGATAATGGATGAATTCCAATTTGATATCCACAATTTAGAAGATAAGAGAAAATAGAAAAAAAAAAACCATATCTGGCGGATCGCATCAAATGAAAGTGCAGTGGCTACCCATTCCTCTCTCTCTCACACACACTCTTCCTGGTGCAGTGTGCACCCTCTGTCGGAGGGGAGCCGTACTGACTGAGTAACGGGTATAAAAGCAGGCTCCCATCGTTTGGTATGGCGGTAGTCGCAACGTTCTTGTCGAGGCACATAGGCCTGTTGCTCTCCGATTACCGGGTATGAAAAGGAACATCTCTGACTGTCTTTGGAGGAGCAGAGGAGTACTACAGCACTACTGGAATGCGTGGAAACACTTCCAACACCTTCCAGGGTATTCCAGCTTCGGCTAAGGGCAAGGCGCACTCCTGAACGGAACCTTCTTGTTCTTGTATTTTCCCGCAATTTATTTAATTCAATAAATTGTTGGCTGCTTTCGATTTTTGCATGCACAAACACACACACAGATCATCGTTATATGTATTTATAATCGCACGTTGGATCGAGTTAACATTTATGTAATTTAAGGCATATTATTTAATGAGTTTATTTATGTAAATGGAATTTATGAGACCACGCGATCGTCCGGAATTTATTGGGTGGTTCGGGTTCAGTGCATCACAAACTGTACAAAACGGTGCCCGGGGAGTGAGAGAGCCTGGCCGTTTTTCTCTTTCGTTCACACCAAGGTGTACTGGCACACGGTGAGGCCCTCATTGTCGGCACTCTCTCGGGTGCAGAGGCACACGCCTGCATTGCGTGAAGACAGAGAGCGAGAGCTCAAATCGAAGAGCTTAAAGCCCTACCCTGACACACGCACACCCTGCATCTCGCTCAATGAGGTGCAAAGTGTATGCGTGTGTGCGTGCAAGTGTCATCCCTATCGATAAGGGAATCATTTTAAGCGACAAAAAATAAAGAAATATAAGTGACGTCTGAAGTGAGCCGCTGTTGACGTTGACGCCGATACCCGCAAAACGAATAACGGCACTCTTTCGAGGAGGAAACACACAACACACGCACAGTGTGCAACAGGGTTAAGGGATCACGAATCTAGAGAATCTAAATACTAAACAGATCATTGCAATTTCCTAGTTTTTCACGAAGAGATCGAGGTTTCCTTCCCAAAACAGGATGAGTTTTTGTGTCAAGAATATGGGATTGGAGATGCTTCTTTCTTTAAATGATACCCTCTAAAAGGGTGTCAACTGGATTGACAACTATTCGCTTCCTCGTTTTCGTATGCCATTGCCAAAAACATGGTCGATGTTGCGCGGTGTAGCGAGCGCGCGATAAGCAAGAAGGTCAATAAATTGCTATCAGTGGACTCCCTGATACATGAGACATGTGCACGGCGACGGCGACGGCAACAGCGACAACGAGTCATGGCGGAGCGCGAATATTTGCATTTTTTGGGCAGCATTCCAAATTCGATTTTGGATTCAAGTGGAAAAAGAGGACTTACCGGCTTTTTGGCCGCCAGCGGCTTGTTGATCAGGTTCAGATGCGGCTCAAAGTCCTGGCCAAAGCGTTCGATCAGCAGATTCTCGGCGGCCTCCTGGGGGCATTCCTCCTGCTGGACCAGCTCCCAGATGTCCTCCGGTATGTAGCAGCTCAGCACGAGCCCCAGCAGCAGCCCAATGACGAAGTAATGATTGCGGCTCAACGCGGCGACTGGTCTACGCATGTTTCAAAGACTCTGCACTTGAACTTGAACGTGGATGTGGGGGCCTGCCGATGATGATGATGATGATGATGATGATCGGGGATGATGGGGAGAGATAGGGAGGAGAAACTGGTGTTCAGGAACCAATGGTCATATGCACATTTTCGCTGTCGTTGCCGTTGCACGCTCTCTCTCTTCACCGTGTATGGCCACTTGTTGCTTCTCTGCGGTTTTTACGCTTCTGTTCGTAGACGCGAAACGAACTCCAACAAGTGCTGCTTTATTTTGGCACTCCACTCGCTTGTGTTTTATTACCGCTGCTGGCACGCACTTCTTTTGCACTGAATATTGTTGCCGCCCTTTACATTTTGCATTTTGCCGCTAATCTCGGCATTTTTTATACATATGCACACGGAGAACCACAAAACACCACGATGGCGCGTAAATTTACATTAATCTGCGGCAAAAAGTTCGAAAAAAAAAAATCTTAAAAAATCAAAGCGCCGGTTGCGGTTCCGCTACGCGAGAAAAAAAAGTAAACAAATTAGCGATGATAAATTGATGTACGAGCAGTATATCGATATATATATTTGGGCGATATTTTTTCTTGATTTGCAAAAATGTATGGATATTTTCGTGGGATATGTCATCGTCGAAACCACTTTTCTGAGTTCGAAGAAAATGAACACGGTTTTCGGTTCTTTCCAGTTCTTTGGTTCTAAAAATCATTATTATGTCGTTCACATGTGATAATTTCATAGAAGCCTTGTCGTCCACACCAACTGCCTCTTTCCATGGACAACCTCGCTGTTGTAGCACACCTTGCAGGAAAACATCGATCATTTTCAGACTTTCGCTGATTTTGTTTAACAGAACCATGCCAAGTGCATTTTTCGCACACACGCTGTGCATGTGACGTGACATTTATTAACTATTAAGACGCTTCTGTAAATCTATGTTATCAAAAAACATCGATTTTTGCAGGGTACCCAAACATCGATTTTTCTCCAATTCAACACGCATTGACACGACACAAATTGACAGGAGAAAACTCCAATCTAACATCATCTCGGAGAGTCAGAACAGACTAGCAGACAATGTTATAGAGATATGGCAAGCACAGTTGTGGTGCTCGACAATGGAGCTCACACAGCCAAGGTGGGCCTGGCCAACCAGGAGGAGCCGCGAGTGGTCCCGAATTGCATTATGAAGGCCAAGAGCGAGCGGCGGCGGGCGTTTGTGGGTAATCAGATTGAGGATTGCCGCGATACCTCTGCCCTGTTCTACATCCTGGCTTTTCAGCGCGGCTATCTGCTCAACTGGGACACCCAGAAGACCGTGTGGGACTACATCTTCAGCAAGGAGGGCATTGGCTGCAGCCTGGACAACCGGAACATAGTCATAACAGAGCCCCAGATGAACTTCCCGAGCGTGCAGGAGGCCATGTTGGAGATGCTCTTCGAGCAGTACCGTGTGGCCGGCATGTACAAGACGACGGCAGCCGATCTGGCGGCCTTTAACTATGTCGCCGACAGCGAGGAGCGCACCACGATGCAGACCCTCAACTGTATTATCATTGATGTGGGCTACAGCTTCACCCACATTGTGCCATTTGTCCTGGGCAGGCGTGTGCTCGAGGGTATTCGTCGCATCGACATGGGTGGCAAGGCGCTGACCAATCACCTCAAGGAACTCATCTCCTACCGGCAGCTGAACATGATGGACGAGAGCCACGTGGTGAACCAGATCAAGGAGGATGTCTGCTTTGTGGCCGAGGACTTCAAGGAGGCCATGCGGGTGCATCAGTGCGAGAAGAAGCGCAAGGAGGTGGCCATCGACTATGTCCTGCCCGACTTTACGACAATCAAGCGTGGATATGTTCGGATACCCGGTCGGCCCCGCATGGACGAGGAAACTATGCAGACAGTGCCACTGTGCAACGAACGCTTCACCGTGCCCGAGCTGCTCTTCAATCCGTCGGACATTGGCATCCACCAGGTGGGCATACCGGAGGCAGTCGCCGATTGCCTCAAGGCCTGTCCCTGGCAGGCCCATCGGGAGCTCCTGCTCAACATCCTGATTGTGGGCGGCTGTGCTCAGTTTCCCGGCTTTTTGCCTCGCCTCAAGAAGGATCTGCGCGCCCTGGTGCCCGACGACCTGGAGGTGTCGCTCATCTGCCCCGAGGATCCTGTCCGCTATGCCTGGTACGGCGGCAGGGAGGTGGCCACCAGTCCCAACTTCGAAGAGTTTGTCTACACGCGCGACGACTACGAGGAGTTTGGCGTCCATGGCCTGAACCAGCGATGAACGGCGGAGCTCCTTCTCCCTCCCCCCCTGAATCCCTTTTAAGGATGCAGTTTTTAATTACGAGAGACAGATTTGTTCTAGATTCGTTTCTTGCTTGTATTCAACTAGGTGTCTAAAAGAGAAATAATGTGCAAAATAGACCAAAGCGGGCGCACTTATATCATGTAGATAAATCGCCTAGACATTGAATGGTTGCCTAGAGCCTTAATCGTTTTTATCAATATACAACTAAATTTGAACTACAGAAAACACAACTTAACTTTAGAATTCGTTTGCGAAATAGAATTTACATACAGATACAGGCTTAGGGCATATTGTGGGGTAGGATCTGCACCTGACCGTCGTTATGCATAAGCTTTGGGGGCTGCGAGGCGGGTGTTGCCGGCTCCAGAGCCAGTTTGTTTACATGCTGAACGACTCGCCGCAGCCACAAGTGCCCTTGATGTTCGGATTGTTGAACACGAACTCGCTGGACAGCTTCGACTCCACAAAGTCCATTTCCGTGCCTGCAACAGGAAAAAAAACAAGATGTTGATTAATTCGTCTGTTGGAGATTACATAACATGGGACCACTTGCCTAGCAATGAAAGCTGCGCCTTCTTGTCAATGAATACCTTCACGCCGTCCTGGACGACCTCCTCGTCTAGTTTGTCTGCTGGGAAACAGAATCCAGAAAAAAAGAATCTTAGTTCGCTTCTATGCAACGCCGTTGTGCGTGCTGGCGTACTCACCTTTGCTGCTGGCATAGTCCAGGGTGTAGGAGAGGCCGTTGCAGCCGCGCTGTCGTACGCCTACCTTCAGGCCGATCTGCAGGAGAAAGGCTTTTGAGTGATGGCATGATTTCGATGTTGCGATTCACTTACAAAGTCTGGCTTGTCCTGCAGCAATGTCTTGATGCGGTTCACTGCAGCCGGGGTCTGGAGGGACGAGAGGGTAAGGAATTTATAAACAACAACAAATTCTGGCTGACTAGGTGGACTGTTACTTCATCAGCGCGTATTTCATCACGCTCTGTCGATTCTTACCAGGGTCAGGGCCGCCCGTGTGGGTAACAATTTGCGTCCCTTTAGCGCGCGCACCGTTGCCGTTGCCACCACACGTGTTGCCATTGCGTCTTTGGTTTATATAATTTGTTTTTCTGCCCAGAAATTCCAACGATTTGTGATTCGAAAGTATGTGATTTGCGACTGTTTTGGTAGAGCTGACAGATTTCTGTAGGAATCGCAGAGCGATAGTTGCTAACGATTACCATCGATAGATCCTATCACTAGCCCTGCAGTGGAATGTCGTGACAGACACTGTGACTGTGAATTTACGCAAATAAACTGCATCCATGTAAAGAAACGTTATAACATTTGGTGTTAGTGTTGGTTAACCACGAGCACAGTTGATTCGTTTTTCACAAATTATAATTTCAGAGTAAAACTTCGTTTCAATTCTCCGCCAATTGGATAAGAGTTCCATACTGAAACAAATACACCTCTGACTTTCACAGCAAAGCGCTCTTCGCACACGGCTTGTGCTATTTCACAAGAAGGTACATCACTAGTTGGTGTTGTAACAGCTGTGACGATTCCATCTCTAATATACCTCGCTTTCGTTTAATAATATTCGGGGCATAATGAGCACATTCAGGCAGTTGTACAATGTTTCTGCTGCCATGGGCCGGCGGGCGCTACAAGTTGCTACAAGAATAGCACAAAATGAGGCACGCACGCACAGTCACTTCCAGTTCCAAGTGCAATTCCCCACGAGACTGGCATCCAGCACTACAGCTGTTCCTGTTTGGACCGGCACGAACAGATGCACGTGCAGGGGGACGTCTCGATTCCACAGCAGCAACAGCAGCAAACCAGCCGTAAGTCTCAGGATGATACAGTCGCTTTGAGATACGCACCATTCATTTCTCTATGTCTTTGGTTGGTTATCTTTTAGAAAGATGCAGGCGAAAACAAGGCCACTAACAGCATACCGCTGGGCGAGCTGCAAACGAAAATGCAGCTCATTTACACCTGCAAGATCTGCCAGACGCGCAACATGAAGACAATTTCAAAGGTGGCCTATCAGCGTGGCGTCGTCATCGTAACGTGCGAGGGCTGTGCCAATCATCACCTGATAGCCGACAATCTGAATTGGTTCACGGATCTGAACGGCAAGCGGAACATCGAGGAGATTCTGGCCGAGAAGGGCGAGAAGGTGATCAAAATGGTGGACGGAAACTGCGAATTTCTGCCCGAACACAATAAACCGAAGCCGAATCCTTAACTGTACACAAATGCAACTTTATTGAGGAGCTCCATCAGCTGGCTGGCCATGGAATGGGATCGCAATTGCATGTGGAATTGCTCGCGGCAGGGCGATCGGGGCATCAGCAAAAGGTGGGTGAGAAATGTCACTTCGTCTAAGGGCAGTGCCGGGCAGACCGTGACGGTGGGTGGAGCATCGGCCGTGATTTGCATGTCGTCCTGGTCTAAGTATGGCATGTGACGATTCCAGTAGCCAATCAGGTAGGCAATGAGGCTGCCAGACAGACGGGCATGGTCCAGGCAAGCCCAAAATCGCGGCTCATTGGAAGGGTTTTCCAGGAAAAGGTACATGTTGTGCAGGAAGCCACAGCAGGGGGCAGCTGGCTGGCTCTCGGCCAGCATATCACAGATCATGTGGCGCAGCAGATGGCAATCGGAGTGGATGTTGCTGTGGCGTGGCTCGCGGAATAGACACAACCACACGCTGAAGCCAACCAGCTTTAGAGCACGGTGCAAAGCGGTTTCCATTTTCTGGAGCGTGGAAAGACGACAGATGCGCTTAACCAGGCGACGCATTTGCAGGAGATCAGTGCTGATCATTTGGGCTGGGTCGAATGCAGCCGGCTGACGCAACGCTGCCCAGTCCAGCTCCCTGATGACGCTCCACGCCGGTTGCACGTCCGCAAAGGGCTTGTGCATCAAGTGGAGCAACGCGGCATGCGCCTCGCCCTTCCTCGTACTGACTATGCCAGCACACAGCTCCTTGATGCTCTGTTTGCGTTCGGCCAGACTGGAGCATGTGGCGTAGAAACTGTGGGAGTTGCAGCGCTCCGCCAGAGCCTCACCGAAGCGGTCATGGCACTCGAACAGATACATGGTGGCCTTCATCATCGATTCGATTAGATTCGGCGTCAGCTTGAGGAGTTTCTGTTGCAATTGGATCTCCACTTGGCAGTCCAGCAGCCAATCCAGTAGTTTGATGCAGTGCGGGGCGACATTTTCGAGGCTTGTGCCTGCATTGAGGATCAGCTCCTTTCTAATAAACTCATCCATACCCAGTCTACTAATAACAATAATTACTCTTTTAGGTCCATCCTATTCTTTATCTTTGCTGTGATCAGCTGACCAGCTACTGTGCGGAATACACAACGCACTTTTGTAACAATATAAACAACAATAAAAATTAGTGGGGCGGCGGGTTTGCGCGCGTACATCCTCCAGTGTGACCGCGGACTTATCGAGCAAATATACCGTTCGATCATCAGAAATATACCGAAACATACGGTCTCATTTTAAAAATATACCGTAAATATACTGACGAATTGAAGTTCTGATTTACATATTCCTCGTTTTTGATCTTCTGTCGAATATTACCAGCTATAAAAAATATTTAGCCATGCCCACATAGTTTTATCCGATTAATGAATCAATTTTCTACTTGACTGGCTTATTCTAAATACATGCTTTTATTGGATCTTGTCTAAAAAGGGTCTGACCTGACTAACTAAATTCTTCAGCCCTGCCCACATAGTTTTATCGATAGCAACGCTATCGTCAAACTCCTGCTGATCCCATTTTTTTCCGGAATCCTAAGGTCTTTGAGATGATGTGAAACGTGCCTAAACTCATATTTTTCATCCATTCCGCTTTTGATTCAGCGAGAGTTTGATATTTCAGGCCCTGCCAAATTACAAACCTATTGCGATAAGGGCGATATCGATAGGAGGGCAGTGCTGCCCATTGATCTCTACTTTGGGGTTTTTTTTTCAGCTAACTGTTCGAATTTTGCAACATAGTTGAGATTTCTTTGAAATTTATTACGATAAATGAGCTTACTTCTTCAAATCCACTCTCTTTGAGTTACATTTACGGCTCATTGCACAAAAATAAAATGCATAACACATAGACTTATATATGTAACATCGAGATATTTGAATCCATTTGAAATATTCGTCTCCTTGGTAGTCTCGTCGTCTAGTGTCTTTGGACTTATTTCAGATAAACTCTAGAAACCAAAGGCGTATACTGGGAATTTCCTATAGACTATTGTATATATACTAGGGTTTTTTTTATATCTTCTCCTCTATTAAAATAAATCAAAATAAACAAAAGAAAATTATAAATATTGTTTTGTATTTTGTGTTTTATTTGTATTTTTTATTGTTATCTTGCTTGTTTAATGGGAAAGGAAATGTTTGAATCGACAGAAAAACGAAAAAACATATTTTAAATGATCTACGCACACTAAATTTAGAATTATTCCTTCGTTTCTTTCTTCTTATCTTCTGTTGTGTTCTGTGTGTAATTTTCTTCTTTCTTCGTGTGGTTTTTGTTTTCTATACTTTCTCTCTAAACTTCCAAGATTTTTCGCCGACTTTCGTTTTCCTTTTTGAAAATTTAAGAAAATATATATTGTATATATATAGGCGCGAAAATTAATAATTAATTCAACATTTTTTATATATACTATTTAACTATATGTATTGTATGTTTATGCATTTGCTGTTTGCCGCTGCTGCTTTTATTTTTTTTTTTTTAATTTTTAATGTTTTTTTTTTCCTGCTGCCTTACGCTTGCGCCTTCGCTCTCTCACATCTCCAGTGGCTGTTCTGTACTCTCTTCACGAATATATATGTGTGGGGGGGGGGGGGTAGTGGCTTAAATTAATTGAAATTTCGTTTTCGTGGGTGTTCGCGTAGCGCTACGCTGTTGCCGTCGTCGTCGTATAGGAATCAACGAGTGCTGTGTGGGCGTGGACTCGCATTCGCTTAGGCGAAGCCAAAGCCTTCGGAACACTCATGAATTGCCTTCAGCAGGCAGCTGCGCAGTTTATCGTAGGACTTGTACATCGGCAGATCCAGTTGGTTAAAGCTAATGATCGCGTCGGATCAGAGGGGGAAAGAAAAGGATGTATGGTTCCATTGGTTAGTAAAGGAAGTCGCAAGATTGATTGGGATAATGAAAGCAATGCAAAGGCACAAGGCGTCGCCCCCCTTGGAGGTAGTCATCTTTTATCACATTAGGGCACAGCAGATGGATGGACGGATACCTTTGAAAAGCACTCAAAATAAACAAAACGAATACGTGCATGCATACCATGACATCTAAATACTTAATTGAAACAAAGTTATTGCTCCCTAAACATTGGACAACCTACCAATAAATATCTGCAAGTATTTAACCCAATTATCTAGCCTAACATATATTCAAATGACTCTACAGGTGGCACTATTAGACTGCTGCATAATCCCCCAAAGAAATGAATCATTTGACGATGATTTGAAATGGAAGGCAATGCCATTTTCCTTCGTATCTCCTTCCGTATTTCCTTCTCCTACCAACAGAACAGAATGGTAAACTATTGCTTAGTATCTTAACAACCTATGTAGCTCCTCCCCTTGCCCGTCTTCTTCTCCTTCCGTATTTCCTTCTCCTACCAACAGAACAGAATGGTAAACTATTGCTTAGTATCTTAACAACCTATGTAGCTCCTCCCCTTGCCCGTCTTCTTCTCCTTCCGTATTTCCTTCTCCTACCAACAGAACAGAATGGTAAACTATTGCTTAGTATCTTAACAACCTATGTAGCTCCTCCCCTTGCCCGTCTTCTTGGGCATTCGTTTTGCCTACTTGGATCTCTGCATGGGATATTCACTCACCAAGTGTGGGCACATGGCAGGCGATCTGTGGAGCGATCGTCGCGATGGATTTGGAACTTTTGTATGCCGTTCATGCCCTCCAGCGAGCCGAAGCCCTGCAGCGGGACCTTTGAGGTGCCGGTGACAAACTGCAAGAATTTGGCCCTATCCGCTTGGTCGAAGCTGCGCAGCGCACGCCAGAACCATTGGATCTGATAGAGAGAGAAAGATGGAAACAAGTATATGGTTTAGAAAGAGATGCAAGAGAATTGGAGGAATGGGAACAGCTCCTCGTAGGACTCTTACCTGTGCCGACTTCGACGTGTACTTGTGATATTCGGTGTTGGCCTTCAGATCTTCTATATCAATATCTGGCAGGCCGGATATGAGAAGTTCCAGTTCCTGTTCGTTGAAAATCGAGATTAAATGCTTTGGAATTATATCGTAGAAGCCCTCGAGGAATGCATCCAATCTGTAGACAAAGGGAAGACAAATTTTCATTATAGATGGATTCTCTCTCTCTCTCTCTCTTTCTCTGTGGGGGGGGGGGGGGGGGATGTACTCACTGCTGACGTATGGACCCGCTCATCTTCAATTGGCACACCAGCTGCACATACTCGAACTTGTTGTCCTCGGTTACTGGGATGTCGCGTCCGTTTGGCTTGAGATCACGAATCTGGGTGACGCCGAACTCCTGCACTTCGGTGGAGAAGGTCACCTCGTAGCCCAGATTGGAGATGTCGTTCTTCATGAGATAGTCGAGACCCTTGTAGAACTCGTAGTCCTGCGATTCCATGTCCGTGTGCTTCACTTGCTTGCCCAGGATATGCTTGTAGAAGGAGCGCGTAAAGTAGCATTCCAGCAGCTTGTTGTCGTGGACGGCCTTGGCTATAGACACACAAAATACAACAAATTATAAAGGAGAGTCCTCCTTGGTGCGTTGCGGCTCTACGGCTCTGGGGCTTACCAATCACCCGTCCGACAAACTTGAAGTAGCTCAAATGATTGGGATTGGCATGGCTGGAGGGATTTATCATGTAGGTGACGCGGTCGCCCGGCGACACGCAGAACAGAGCGTACATCGGATTGAAGATCTCCCGCGATATGATCACATACCATTCACGTAGCAGGCCGCCAGCGTCCTGACCCTCTTCATCTGTAGTCGGAGGAGAATCGTTAGAGGGGGAGTCCTCTACGGCCAGAATGCGATTATCTTACCTTCAAACACGATGTAGAAACGATTCTTCCACTCTTCGGGGCCCAGACGGTACAGGACACGGAACGAGTCCTCGAAGACGGTCACGCGTCGAACACTGACCGTGTGCTCTTCGCGGCGTATGCCCTCGTCGAGGCGCTCCAGCTCGGTCTGGAAGTACTTGCGCTTCACGTCGAAGTCCAGGATGCGCGTGTGGTCCACGAGGACGGCGAAGGGGCCGTCCGACAGGTGGGTGGGGGACTGGCGCAGGATCTGGTTGAGCACAGTTCGATGCTTCTCAGCGAACTGAAGGAACTTGTGGCGATCCTGCTTCAGCTGTGCCTCGTGGGCACTCAGCCCGGCTGTAGAGCCGCAGCTCGCGGACTCGGCTCCGGCATTGGGACTGGGATTGGCAGTGTTGCCGATGGACGTGTTGCTGGCATCCTGGGCATCGTCCGAGCCGAAGGCTGTGCTGCCGCTGCCCTCGTCCATCAGGGGACTAATGTCCTGCACCGAGGACGAGGACACACTGCCGCCCACTGTGCGGCCGGCTGAGGCTGCGCGGCCGCCGCGTGCCCCCTTCTTGGGTATGCGATGCGAGGCGTGGATCAGGAAGAAGGCCTCCACCGTGGGCTGCAGCACGAGGACGGCAAACTCGTCCTTGGACTCCTCCAGTGCCACCAGGCACTCGCTCAACGTGTGCCACAGGACATCGAGGCACAGGATCTGGCTGAGCGTCGGCTTGCCTGGCTTGCTGCCGCTGTCCGCTGTACCGCTGCCACCAGCCCCGCCACCGCCGACGCCGCAACTGCTGGACGAGCCGCCCCCCAGGGGCATGGCCTCCTCATCGTCATCCTCGTCGTCGCCGTCGCCATCGCCATCGCCGTCGCCATCCCCGTCGATGGCCCCCCCGTCCGAGGGCTGCCGATTCGTCTCCATGCGAGCCCGGAAGCGCGAGGCATCCGAGCTGCTGCCGCTGGTGGCACCGCCATCGCCCAGAATGTCGATGAAGTCCTCCTCGTCGTCGGAGGCCACCGTCTGGTTCTCGTACATGTCCCGCACCTGCATGAAGATCTTCAGGGTCCGCAGGAAGAACGGCTGCGAGGAGGAGTTCGACATCAGTTTCTTCATCGACGGCAGCTGCAGCTCGCACGTCGGCTTGGCGTTCTTCGGGGCCGAAATGATCACGTGCTCTGCGGTGAAGCGATCCTGCATGATTCCCTCGTTCACGGCCAGATTGGGCAACAGTCCAGCCGAAGTGGAGGGTCCCGCCGCCGCTGCTGCTGCCGCCGCTGTTGCGGATGCCGCTGCCGTTGCCTGTTTCGAGGTGCTGGGCAATCCCGCATTGATGTTGTACGCCCGTATCTCCTGGAGCAGCGTCTGAATGGCCTGGCGCACCTCCTCGGCGAGGCCGAGAATGGCGGCGGTCAAGTACTGTATGAAAATGGCGTTCGATGCCTGCGAGCACTGCGTGAGATTGACAATCAGCTTGGCCACGTTGTCCAGACCCTCGGTGGTGCCGCACTGGTGCGTCAGCACCTCGATCACGAGCTGCAGCTGCGAGAAATTCTTCGCGTAGATCTTGCGCTTCGGCTTGACCGGCATCTGGAGGGTGAGCGGTGGCGGCGGCATCTTCTTGAGTTCCGGCAGGGGACGACTGGCGTGCGTGGTGGTGTGACCGGTGTCGCCGGTGGCATTGGCGCCCGTCAGGGCGGCCGCTGCCTGGGTCATCTCCTGGTTCTGCTGGGCCTGCTGATTGAGCACCGCCTGGTTGATGGGTATCAGCGTGGGCATCTGGGGCTCGGCCCCAGGCCCGGGCTCCTCCTCCTTGGGCAGCTCTGTGCTGAGCGAGGCCAGCAGCTTCACGAGCATGTCCGTCAGGTGGGGCGACCGACAGATCACCTTGTACGGCAGCATGGCCAGCAGCTGCCCGAACGGCGAGTCGCTGAACGACAGGAAGTCCCCTGTCTTGGCCACCCACTCCCAGGAGGGCTGCGAAACGATCGGGAACTCGGCCACGTGCTTCATGCGCTCCTCCGTCTGTCGATCGATGTTCAGCACCACATCCCAGAAGTTGTACGAATTGGTCTGGTAGCCACTTCCAGTTCCTGTTCCTGTTCCGCTTCCCACATCCGTTGCAGTCGCTGCTGTGGTCGTGGCTGCCTTTGCCGCCTTGGCGGCAGCTGCCTTCGATGTCGAGGGAGCCTCATCGTCCAGCGGCGTGGCTGGAGCCGGAGCTGGCGCTGGAGCTGGAGCTGCGGGCGTGGCTGCGGCCTGGACTGTGGCTATGGGCTGGACTGGGGGCGGTGTGGGTGGGGCCAGCATTCGGGGATGATGATCCTCGATCATGGCCCGCATCCGATTGGCCACCTGGTAGCGATAGAAGCGGGAACGAAAGTCCAGGGTACCGCCAGCGGGTGGGTTCTGCTGCTGCTGCTGCGACTGCGGCGGCGGCTGTTCTTCGACGCGCGGCGCTCCCGGGATGGGGGGCGGCATGCCAAAGACGGCGCTAAGCATGCGACGGGCCTTGGCCTCGCGATGGTAGGGCACAAAGCTGGACGGATAATGCTTGGCCAGGACGAACAGCAGGTCCAAACAGTTGCGGACAATCATTTGGGCCGCCTGTGGATTAATGCTGATGCTCTTGGCGCTGCCACTGCCGCTGCCACTACCGCCGGCCTCGTCGTGGAGGTGATTGATCAGGAATATGTTGCTCTTGTACCCAAAAGCGGCGTCCACGCGCAGCTTCAGCCAGTCGGGCTTGCTGCCCTGACCCTGGCCCTGGCCCTGGCCCGCCCCGAAGTTGGCGCTCTCCTCGTTCGTTTTCTGGACAATGTTGATCAGGGCATTGATGATCCAGTCGCGGGTCGGCTCGTGGTGGCACAGGTTCCGGATGACGCGGTGCAGCCGCAAGCTGTTCACCTTCTGGTCCTCGACGAACAGGAACAGCAGCAGCGTGGCCAGGGAGTCCGGATCGAGCAGGATGTTCTCGTCCTCCATCATGAGCAGGGCCAGCGGCTTGCCCACGTTCAGGGCGTGGCTGTGGGCATGGTGGTGCACAATCGTCGTGTGCTGGTGGTGCTGCGGCTGGGCATTGCCGCTGGCATCGTACCAAATGGAGCTGTGCCAGCGCGCGTCCTCCAGGCTCTGCAGCGAGTTCTGATAACGGGCTGTGGGCGGATCAACATAGAGATTGGATCAGAAATGGATGGAGCAGAGAAAAGAATATAAGCAGGGATCAAAGACCGATAGAAGAATCCCCATCCGCCCCATCCTCCCGGCTCTGGCTCTGGCCCCACCAAAGTCTCTCAATTGATTCAAAGCCTATTAATGGAATGGTACAAAAGATCCCCCTATAGCCCACATCCACATCCACATGGATCATCGGACAGAGGCAGAGCGCTTCTAGGCAGGATGGCAGGCAACATCCATTCAGAGGCCGATGGACAGCATCATCGACAGTTCTTTGACGGACAAAGGGAGACGGAACGGACGCCAGTGGAGAGACTGCACTCGGAGGGATCTCGGATCTCTACAGATAATCCCAAAATATCCCAAATATTCGTTTTCGGACTTACACAGCGCACTGCTGGGGGGATGGGCATCCCCCAGGCGCGGCCCGTTGCGTGTCTCCCAGTCGCGACGCAGGAACTGGGCCTCGGCGGCCAGCTCTGGCGGCAGGCTGGCAATCTGCGACTCCTCCATGTCCGAGAGTATCTAATAAAAGAGAGAGAGACACAATAGAGACGGGGGATCCTTGCGTTTCTGACGAGCACTCACCACTTGGCGCAGATTCTCGGGTAAATTTTGGAAAAAGGCTGCCGTGTCGACGGGATCCTCGGGGTTGGCCGTCTGTGCCGCCTGGCGCTGCTGTTCGATGCGTTGCTGCATGAGCACCTCCGACTGGATGCTCAGCGGCAGGGCGGCCAGGAACTCGGGGTTCACCTCCACGAGCGAGTCGTGGGCGATCTGGATGGCGTTCTGCTGGGCCCGCTGGCGGATGCGCTGCATGCGCAGATGCTCCTGGATCACCTCCTCGCGCATCTCGCTGGGCAGCGCCGCCAAAAAGGAGGGGTCCACGCCCTCTGGCACCTCTAGATCCCCCAGAGCGGCGCGCACCTCGGGGCTCATGTCTGTGACGGTTCGGCTTGCAGTTCCAGAGCCACTCGCAGTGGCAGTGGCAGGTGCAGTGGCAGTGGCAGTCGCACCACCACTAGATCCTCCTTCATCTGTGCTGGGAGCAGCTGTCGGTGTCGGTGTCGCTGTAGCTGAAACTGGCGCTGGCGCTATAGCTGCAGAGGAGGAGGCCCCTCCTGCGGCATTGGTGGGAGACGATCCCAAAAAGAGTATCCCATTGCGACCTCCAGGGGAGGCCGACGTCCTGCTGGATTGCTGCTGCTGCTGCGGATGTGCTGTGGTCGGCCGCGGGGGACGGGTGAGTGTGGCCGTTCCCCAGAGCGGCTCATCGATGATGGCCACCTGGATGGGCGGCGTTGTGCTATCAGTGGGCGGCGGTGGTGGCGGTGGATCTGGTCGGCTGCTGCTGCTGCTGCTGCTGCCGCTGCCCAGGGACTGCTGCTCCTCCTGCTGGCGCTGTGCCGCCTCTGGCTCGGGCACATCCAGTATGCCGGGCTGCAGCAGGCTGACATTCACTTCCTCCTCCTGCACATTGTCCTGGGTGGTGGCCTGGTCCTGGTCGCGAGGGGACGACGACGCCAGGAACGCTGTTGTCGGATAGAAATCGAGCACTGAGGCCGGCGACGGGGCCAATGGCGGCGGCGGTGGCGGGGCCGGCCCACGTCCCGCATGATGATGCAGCCGCTGATGTTGGCCGTACATCAGCCGATGGGTGCGTCCATTAAGGATGCGCGGGGCATTCTGCAACGACAAAAGAGAGAGACACCCGATCGTTAGAGAGGATCTCCAGCAGGAGGCGGATCTGCATCTGCATCTTTACCTGTCCAAATTCATTGAATATATTCAAATCCTGTACGCGAGCATGGAGACGCGGCGGCCTGCCGCTGGCCGATGGCAAGTGCGGCACTGGCGGGTGTCTTGGGGCCACAGCCAAGACATCTGCCTGCGCCTCTGCCTGTGCCTGCGGTTGTGCCTCCTCTTGTGGGGGAAACAGTAGCAGACGTGATTCTGTTCCCGCTGTGCCCGCTGTTCCAACCGGATCTAAAATATCATCATTGTCATTGTCCGGATCGTTGGTCAGGTCGATCTCTGCGAATATATTGAAGGACGGCCGTGGCTCGTTCCGGCGCAGTGTGGCGTTGCGTATCGGTGCACGCAGCGGGCGCGAACGCGCCGATGTGGCATACGGCGGCATGGCCAGGCCTTCGGCTGGCGCAGAAGCTGCTGTTCGGGGGGAGGGGAATTGGGAATTGGATCGATTAGACACCAGGGAACATCCATCCTCTGGGGGGGAATACTCACTGCCGCTGCTGGCTGCCAAAGTGGGCGCTGCTGTCGCTGTGGCTGTCGTTGTGGCTGTGGCTATGGCTGTCGCTGTGGCCACTGTCGTTGCAGTCGTCGTTGTTGTGGTCGTGGATTCATCGTTGGGGTTCGCTCCTCTGGTGGCCAATGGCTGGGCCTGTGATGCCGCCGGCGCTGGCGCCAGCGAAGAGGGTATCAGCATGGGAATCAGTACGGGTATGGAGCTGCGACGATTGCTGTTGCTCGAGCTGGAGCTGATCGTGGCTGTGGCGCCTCCTGCCGCTCCCGGCGACGATGTCACTGTGGCTGTGGCACTCGTGAAGGTCGATGTCACCGACGACCCGGTGGTGGTCGGCGTCGTGGCCGTTGGCGTCGGTATGGTGGTGGCCGTGGTGGCTGCTGCTGCGGCCGCCATGGCGGACTGGCGCGCGGCCTCCTCCTGCTTCCGCTGGTAGTGGGCCGCCTTCAGCTGCCGGATCAGATACGGCAGCAGGAAGTGCGCCGCGTACAGGCACGCGTCCGTCTGGCTCTCCATGTCCAGGGCCTTGGCCTCCTCCAGCCACCAGTGGAGCGCGTCCTGGGTGAATATCTCGACCTGAGTCTCTTCCGTGGGGTTCTGGTGCGTGGGCATGCACACGCAGTACTGCTGGTCCAAGTACATGAGGCGACGGCGCACTCCGTTGTTGCACAGGGCCGAGGAGCCGGAGCCGGAGCCCCCTCCGCCGCCACCGCCTCCGCTGGCCGCTGCTGCTCCGCCGCCAGATCCGCCGCCGGACACCTGTTCGTCCAGGAGATTGCTCATGTTCTGGCTGTTCGAGGAAGCGGTTGCTCCTGCTCCCGCTGCCGCTGCCGCTCCTGAGGCTCCTCCGCTGGGTGCGTGGAATCCTGCTGCTCCTCCGCCTCCGCTACCTCCGGCACCGCCTGCCTCGCTGTTGCCATTGGCGGGGGCATTGCTGCTTCCGCTACCCCCGGGGGTGGGTATTCCGCCTGCGGCGCTGATGAAATTATAGTCAGGGGCGATCCAGGAACGCGAAGAGGGACGCAGGGCGGCAGCCACAGGGCGTTCTCCGCCGCCTGCTCCGCCGCCGCCGCTGCTGCTGCTGGCACCAGTCGCACCTCCGCCAGAGCCGGCTCTAGCTGCGGAGGAGGCTGCCCCTCCTCCTGCGGCGGCACCACTGGAACCGCTGGCACCACTGCCACTCGCACTGGCATTCGCATTCCCGCCGCTTCCGCTTCCGGCTCCGCCTCCGCCTCCGCCGCCACCGCCACCGTTCACGTCAATGTCCAGGGGCTGGGCAATGGAGCTGTTCATCCGCACACGGAAGCTGGTCGGGGGCGTGGGCATCAGCAGGGGATTGTCGACGACGAGGCGCTCGAACAGGAAGGCCTCGGCCCGACTGGCGGCCTCATTGACGGCCGAGTCGTCGTCGTCGTCATCGACATCGTCGTCGTCGTCGTCATCGTCGGGTATCGGGTCATCGGCCACTGGCTCGCCGGAGGCCGTGATGGCGGCACTACGCCTGGGTCGATTGTTCGAGTTGCTCAGGGCCAGGGCTATGTCGATCTGGTTCTCCAGCTCGGGATCGTCGATGGCGGCACGATGGTCCTCGTCATCGGCGTCGTCTTCGTCGTCGTCGTCGTCATCGACGTCCTCGTCGTCGTCATCGTCGTCGGCGTCGACGTCGGCATCGTTGGAGGCCGTCTCCGAGGACTCCGGCTCATAGATGTGGTCGAATACCTCGATGAACTGGCGGGGCCGCTCCTCGTCGACGTCCGTCTCGCTGTGCTCGTCCGCCTCCTCGTCGGGTGCATCGTCCTCGTCGTCGTCCTCCTCGTCGTTGCGCTCATCGTTCTCCGTGGAGCCGTCCGAGTCGGAGTCCGAGCTGCTGGCGTCTCCCAGCAGCGAGGTCATCTCGCGGCGGTTCTCGCGGGCCCCCGTATCGGAGGAGGTGGAGGCGCCGTCGCTGTTGCCGCCGCCCAGGCCGTTGTCGTTGGCCGAGCCGCTGTTGCCGTTGCCGCCGCTGTTTGCATTGGATCCATCGCCCGGGGCCAGGAGGAGCCTGTCCGGCTGGGAGCCGCGCAGACGGGGATCTACGTTGATGGAGCTGCTAGAGCCGGCGCCAGAGCCAGATGCTCCTCCGCCACTCGTCCCGCTCGAGGCTGCTCCGTTCTGCGGGTGCTGCTGCTGCGAGGAGCTGCCGCTGCCGCTGCCTCCGGCCCCGCCTGCTCGCGAGGCCAGACGCAGGCCCTCGCTCTGCAGAAAGTCGTCCCAGAGCTGGTCAAAGTTGAGCACGGGCCGGACGGGCCCTCCAGTGGCACCTGCAGAGCCAGAAGGTCCATCGTTGGCTTCTCCTCCGATGCCGCCTCCCACGCTGCTGCTGCTGTTCCGTTCTCCCACAACATCGATGACGGAGCCGGCGGCCGCACTGGTGATGCTACTGCTCGATCCCAGTCCGAGGCCCATTCCCAGGCCCATTCCAAGGCCTCCTGCCCCAGTTCCTGCGCCTGAGCCTGCTCCGCCTCCGCCTCCGCCGCCGCCTCCTCCTCCGGCTCCGCCTGCTGTTGGGGGGGCCGCATCCTCTGCGTCGACGGCCATTTCGTCCGAGTTGAAGATGAATTCAAAGGCGTGACGCCTGTCCGACAGCACGTTACGGATTATGTCCCGCAGGACGTGCTCGCCGCCCATCCCGTTCGAGCGCTCGACAGCCGCTCCGGCGGCGGCGCGTGCGGCCATGCGCGGATATAGGCGTCGGTTGATGATGGTGCCGTAGGTGTTGCTGCCGCTGTTGCCTCCTCCGCCGCCCAGGGTGGACACAGAGGAGCCGCCAATGCCCGAGCCCGCGGAGTTGTTTCCGGCGCCCGTGCCGCCCGCTCCGCCCGTGCTGGCGCCGCCGAATAGTATCCGCTTCGAGCCGAGGGTCGTGGTGGAGACGCTGAACCGCAGCAGGATCTCCATGGGCCGCAGGATGGAGGCCAGGGTGCTGAGGGTGTTGTGGTTCGACAGATCCTTGTACTGGGCGATCTTGGTGAGGTACGTCATGACGCCCTGCCGCAGCAGGACGCGGTACATGTTGTTGCGGTGCATGTGCACCTTGTCGAACAGCATCGGAGCCTCGATGAGGTTCGGGAAGAGGCTCATCAGCACCTGCAGGCGCGTATGCTTCTCCGAGGAGTCCGGCTGGGCCAGCGCCCGCGCCACCGCCGCGTGCAGCTCCTCTGCGACCTGCACCTGCACTCCAGGCACCTGGTAGCAGTCGGAGAGCGAGCAGATGAGCACACGGGCCATGGTGCTCACCTCCGAGACGTGGTGGCGCTTCGTGATGGGCAGAAAGCGGTCCAGCAGCACGGCCATGAACGTCATCTGGGGCTCCTGGATCAGCGGACTGTCTGCCGGGGTGTACACGTGTCCGAGCAGCACTCTGGGCAGCAGCGACTGGTAGGCCCGTGTGGCGTCTGCAAGCAGCTTGAGGAGCGTCGCACGGGAGATTGTCGGCTTCGAGTGGGTGTGCACGGCGGTGGGCACGTGCCAGGTGCAGCAGCAGGGCTCGTACTTGCCATCCCCCGAAGGAGGGCCACCAGCGGCGGGAGCGGGAGCGGCAGCAGGAGCAGGCGCCGATCCAGGACCTGCACCTCCTTTCTTGCTGCCGCTGGTCGATGCCTGTGGCTGTGCCTGTGCCTGTTGCTGCTCATGTGTGGGCTCGTCCTCTTCCATGGCCCCAAATTGTGGCTGGGCGCTGGGAAGTCCTTCCTCCGTTTGAGGCGGGGGCTCTGCCGCCGCCTTGGGATGATCGCTCGTGGGAATGGCTTTGGTGTAGTGGCAGCACGGCTGGACCAGGGCCAGCAGCAGCTCCTTGAGCACGGACACGGCCGACTGGACCATCGGGTCCTCCCACATCTCCTCCTTGGCGGGCGGGGCCGGGGCCGGAGCCGGGGCCGGTGTCTGCGGATTGGGTCCCCCGGCGGCGGCTGTCGGCTGCTGGCCGAACTTCGACTTGACCATCACGCGGGCCTCGTCCGCCAGGGCATTGCCGCTCGAGCTGTTCGAGTTCATGAGGTACTCGCCGCGCAGCATCTCCTTGGCGGCGGCCACGAAGATCTGCGGGTTGCGCGACACCGCCGTCGACACCTGGGTGAGCACGAAGATCAGATCGCGCTGTCCCACGGGCACTATGCCGGCGGCACGCATCCCCAGGACCCGCTCCATGGCCTCCTGCAGCACTGGCGGTGCCTCCAGCACGTGCCGCAGGATGATGATCGCGTACGTCGGGAATCCCATGAAGCTGCACGCCTGCTGCAGCTGCAGGAGCATCTTGACGCCCCCGCAGCGTATGAATGTCTGGGCGTTCTCGTAGTTGCGCGTCAGACGCGCGCAGAGGCGCAGCAGCGAGAGCTTCGTCTCGTGCTGCAGCAGGTTCGGGGGCTGCAGGAGCGACACAATGCTCCCAATGATCCGGGCGCAGTCGAATTTGCTCAGTCCGACATTCTCCTCGCTCAGCAGGATCCTCTGCGTGCGCTTGGGTATCGAGGGTGTGGCCGTGGAGGCCGCCGACGATGTCGTGGCTGACGTCGTCGATGTCTTGGCCTTGGCGGCCGCCGCAGCGGCGGCGCTCTTCTGCCGGGACTTGCTGCGTGTAGTCATCGGTGCGGAGGCGGACGGCGAGCGGGTACGTGCTCTGGCCCCGCCGCCCCCCATCGAACAGACGGCTCCACTTTCATTGGAGGTCTCGTCGCTGGTGCCTGCTGCCGCTGCCCTTGCCGCTGCCCATGCCGCTGGCCATGCCGCTGGCCCAGCCCCTGCCGTTGTGGCTGTAGCTGTGGCTGTGGCTGTGCCTGGTGGCTGCACCATCGTGGGGGTCGTGTTTTGGCCCTCGCCGAAGGTCATCAGATGCCGCAGCGAAATCAGCTCGTCCGTGTGGGTGGTGCCCTGGCCGTCGGCCGCTGTGCGCAATACGCGATTCAGCAGATGCTCCACCTTGGTGACCGCCACCGGGTTGTTCAGATTGGAGATGGCCTCGCTCAGCTTGAGGGCCGGGAAGACCGGCCGATGGCTGCCGGAGGCCTCGCTCACCTGCGTCATGCAGTTGAAGGAGACGGTGCACCGCTGCCGCCCGATGTTGATGTGCAGCCAGCGCTCGCCGGAGTTGTAGGCGTTGCGGATGAGGTCGTTGTTCGCGTCCGAGTAGGCGTTCCACTTGCCCGTGGAGGCGTCGTACCAGCGCCACACGTCGCTGCACACCGCCCGCATGTTCGACTTGCGCTGCAGAATGTGGCTGATGCTGTCGATGGCGTCGATCAGGTCGACGAGGTTCTGCACCCAGCGGGGCACTGTGATGCGCTCCGCCTGCGGCTTCTCCGACTGCTCCATCATCCACTGGGCCATGCAGTCGAGCAGCTTGACCAGCGACACCATCGCGTCCTGGGCGTTGATCGCCTCCACGAGCGGCCTGTGCATGTCGCTGAAGTTCTCGTCCAGCAGCAGCGTCGACGTCTTGAGGCGCACGAACAGCCGGGTGGCCGTCATGCCCGTGAGGCACTCCTCGAGGCGCGTGCCGCGGGCGGTGGCGCCCGGCAGCCGCGGGTTCTCGAACAGCTGCAGCGTAAAGTCCACCCACTGGATGATGTTGCGCACGAAGTTCGTGACGAATACCTGCTTGTTCAGGTGGTTGTGGCGCCTGTACAGCACCGCGATGAGGTCCGAGGCGCTGTTCACGACGTCCGGTATGGCCTCCATGAACTCGAAGGCGCGCGAGATGGCCTCGTCGCAGAAACGGTCGAAGATCATCGGCGGCATCAGCTTCAGATGCTTGTAGTCGTAGCTCGAGGGATTGCCGCCCGACTTGTACTGGCTGAACGTGGGCGTCGGGGTGGGGCCCAGGCTGATGGTCGAGCCGGAACCCCCGCCCGAGGACTCGCCCCCCTCCATGCCCGGTCCGTCCATGCCGATCTCCATGGCAGATGGCGGCGGGGTGGGCGCTGTCGGTGCTGTGGGGATATTAATACCTGCCCCAGCACCAGCACCAGCACCGGCACCGGCAGCAGCACCGGCAGCAGCAGCACTCGTGGTGGCATGCGCACTGGCCTCCGGATTATTGAGCAGATAGTCGGTGGCCTCCTCCAGGGAGCCGTTGTTGCGCAGGGCATCCACCACGTGGTAGTGGGTGAAGCCCATGTCCGTCAGCGTCTTGATGTGCTCGACGTTGAGGCCGTCGTCGGTGCTGCGGATGTAGAGGTTCTCGAACTTGATCTCCTTCAGGCGCGTGTGGTAGCGCTCCAGCAGGGTCGCGTGCGACTTGACCAGGTGCTTGACGATGAGGATCATCGTCTCGAACATGCTGGCCCCGTAGTTGGCGATGGGCCGCCGGGCCCAGATCCGGCGCAGGGCCTGCATCGCCAGCTGGTGGATGTGGATCAGATAGAAGACGGGCTCGAAGGGCACCGTGTCGGGCATGTAGTTGAGGCGCGGACTCATCGTGTAGGGCGAGTCGAGCATCGCCCGCGGATTGACCATCTTCTCGAGCAGCTGCAGCCAGGCGTCGAGGAACTCGCCGGTCCCCTCCGGACAGTCGCGCTTGTCGTCCTCGTGCGACTGCATCAGGTCCTCCATGGAGGCCCACTGCTTGAACTCGAACTTGGTCGACTCGGCGTCGAGCGACAGCGCCCAGTAGAACATCTCGAAGAAGGCCTTGAGGCCGTTCTCGGCGCAGAACTGCGAGATCATCAGGTGGAAGGCGCTCCGCTTGTCGTCGAACAGCATCGGCCCGGTGAAGCCCACCGAGCAGATGAGGAACGTCAGCTTCAGCTTGGGCACCGGCTTCGGCAGGATGCTCTCGTGGCTGAAGCCGTTCACCAGAATGGAGCTCAGTATCCGAGCTATCTCGCGCGCCTCCGGGGTAGGAACTTTGTTTATGTTGCTGATCAGATCGTTGATCCGCCGCTGGCGCGTCTGCGGCGAGCCCACCGACAGCTTCACGAGCGTCCCAAGCAGCTCGGCGAGGGCTCGGCCCAGCCGGGAGCTGGCCGCCAGCAGGCTCTTGATGTACCGGAACTGCTCCTCGGGCGTGTACTTTGTGCGAAACTCGGCGGCGCGCTCCAGCTTGCGGGAGAGCTCCGCCTCCGTGAGGGGATCGGCGGTGCCGGCGGCCGCCGACATCTGGGCGGCAATCTCGTCCCAGATGAGATCCGGATGCTGGGTGGGCTCGTCCGAGCACAGATTCAGCAGAATGGTGCTCTCCCACACCAGCGAAATGTAGAGCTGGACGAGCTGCTGCAGCAGCTGGACTCCGGTCTCGCGGTTGACGCCCCACCGCTTGAGGAGAATGGCCCGCATGTCGGTGGAGGCGTTGCGGCACAGGTGCACCAGCATCACCACGTACCCATGGACAAAGCTCATGTTGTGCAGGATCGGCGTGTACTCGGCATTGGCGAAGCCGTCCTCCAGCCGCTGGCAGCACACGAGCTCCGCGAGCAGCACGCTCCCGCCCGGAAAGGTGAAGTGCTTGATGAGGGGCTTCAGCTTGCCCACAATGTCCGCCAGCTGCTTGAGGGCCACGTCCAGCACCTTCGTCTCCTGCGCCTGGCTGAGGATCGCCTTGCAGACGTTCGCCACCGCCTGCGACGTGGTGGAGACGGGCGAGTCCACGGGCAGATTGGGCAGCGACAGCAGCTGCAGGATGGGCTTGAGGCCGCCGTGCAGGACAAACTCGCGGCAGTGGTCGCCGTTCGGGCTGTTGCTGAAGATCGCTTCGATGAATTTCATCACGTTCAGGATGTAGTCGATCAGGGGTATGGCCTCGCGCTCGGGCGGCGTTACAGAGGCGCGGACCAGAGCCGCGGACGAAGACGTAGCCGAAGAAGTGGTGGCCACGGTTGGGCATCCTCCTGCCGTTCCGCCAGTTCCTGCTCCAGTTCCTGCTCCAGTTCCTGTTCCTGTTCCTGAGGATCCGCCTGGTGTCTGTGGGGCGGCACTGCCGCCACGTGATGTAGAGGCCACTACTGCGGCGACTCCGACTCCGACGCCGACTCCTGCTCCCTGTGGCGGCTGCTGGTGCTGCTGTTGCTGCGAGGCGGAGCTCATCTCGTCATCGTCGTCGTCGTCGTCGCCGCTGCTGTCGTTGTTGTTGTCATTGGCCGCACTCTGCAGCACGGAGACGGTGCCTCCGCCTGCCCCCGCCACCATCACCATGGGGGCGCCTCCGGCGACCGAGGGCAGGACACCGTGGGCGCCATGGGCGCCATGGGAGCCGCCGCTTCCTGAGCCGGAGCCGCTGCTCTCCTTGTTGGCCCGCCAGCAGATGAACGAGGGATCGGAGCCAAGGCGCACCAGCTCGTTGAGCAGCCGGACAATCGCTTCGGTGGCATCGGCCCTCAGATACGGATGGTGTTTGATGAGATCGTCCATGGCGTTGCCCAGATTGGTGGCCGTGTCGCCCAGCGGATCGGAGGAGCGGCGCCTGCGCATCGCCACCAGATAGTCCGGGGAGAGCAGCACCTTGAGCACCTTGTCGAACGGATCGTACGAGAGGAACTCGAACAGGCCGCGCTCGTTCAGGCACAGCGCGGAGAAGACGTTGGGCAGGGAGCCGAGAACCTCCCGCGTCGCTGGGACGTCCTTCTGGAGGAGGGCCTTCAGCATGACGCTGGTGATGCCCAGATCCTGGAGGGAGGAGAGCAGCGAGGGCTCGTTGAACACGTACACGGTGACCACGTCGGTGGCCAGGAGGAACAGCGAGGGCCCGTAGTACTCGGCGTTCGCGATGATGTGCCGCAGCGACTGCGTGAGCGACGTCTCCATGATGTTGCGCATGTTGCTGAAGTGGGCATGGTCCTGGATGCTCTTCTTGAGGAAATTCAGCATCGACTTGAGCAGCGCCGCGCGCTGCGTCACGCACGACGGCTTCTTCGGCTGGACGCTGCTCGGCGGCAGCTGGGCCTGCGACAGTTCGGCCTTCCGTTCGGCCAGAGGACGGGCGTAGTAGCTGTTGGCCGGATACACGACCACGGCGAGGCCTGCGTCGGCAGGATCGGCACGATCACTGCTGCTGCCTGCGGCTCCGCTGCCCTCGGCGCCCTCATCGCTGCCGCCGACGACGGCCGCGACGGCCATGATGCTGGAACCACTGGGTCCGGCCGCCTCCAGGTCCAGGTCCAGATCGTGATCCTCCCCCTCGTCCCCCTCCTGATCCTCGTCTTCCTCGTCGAGAGTGCCGCCTCCCAGGCGATCATCGGAAGCGTCGCGATGCGGGGAGGAGCTACTGCCCTCTGAAAGCAAAGAAAAAAGAGTGTTAAAGGAAGGGTTTCGCCTTTTGCGGAGAGAGCAGAGCCGCACCTTCGATGTCCGCATCCACTAGGTCCAGCGACATGTCCAGCTTCCCCTCCTCGTCCCTGAGCGTGGACTCCTTCAGGGTGATGCCGATGTCCGCCAGAGCCTTGCAGCAGCTCTTGATCTCCTTCTCGAGGCGATCGATGAACACGTTCAGTCCGTTGTTCTGGTGGAAGCGGGCAATGTCGATGTTCGTGATCAGATCAATCACCCGCACGGCCCGCGTCACGAAGGTTATGTGCTCCAGGTCCACGCCTGGCCAGCTGATGACGCACAGCAGGGACTGCATCATGCCGCTCTTCACCAGGGCGGAGCCGCCCAGCTCGTAGCTGGCCAGATGGTACAGCAGCGAGAACAGCGACGTGGCCAGGATGAGGGGGTAGCGCTCCGTGAGCCCGTGTGTCGTCAGATTGTTAATGCAGTCGCGCACCAGGAGCGGCAGTGTGCCGCCCTGACGCTCGGCGCCCGTGTAATGGACAATCTTCATTAGCCGCGATCCGGCCCTGCTGCAGAGAAACCACGAGAGGAAAATGGCCAAAGAGAAAACAATCAACAAATTATGGAATTGCGGGGGGTGGGGGTTAGGCCAAGGGCAAGGGCAAGGGCAGGGGCAGGGGAGGGGGCATCGCACCTGGGCACATTCGGATTGCGATCAAAGTGCAGCATCGATGTGAGGGTGCGCAAGACGGCGGCCCGTATCTCCACCAGGATCACGTCCTCCTTGTCGATCAGCTCGCATAGCTCTTCGCCGAAGCCCGGGTACAGCACCTTGTCCGTGTTGTCCTGCAGGGCGTTCGAGTAGATCAGAATGGAGACGGCCTGCAGGCGGGCCTGGACAAACTGCAGGCGCAGCTTGTAGTTGTTGAATCCAGAAATGAGACGCACGCGATGAGCAATGCGCATCTGGAACGAGTGTCAAACGAGTGTCAAATGGAAAGGAGGAAGCGGGAAAGTCACTGCAGTCACTGCACCTTTATTGCCTCGCTGGGCTTTGAGATCTGTCCGGCAATCGTTTTGATCACCTCCGGTGCCGATGCCGTGTGGCATAGGTCCATCATGTCAGGGATTTCCAGCTGGGCGGCATGGCCGTGCTCGTCCACATAGTCGATGCACAGCTGATAGAGAAACTCCAGCTTTGGCTCGCCGATGCAGCAGTCCTTGAGCGAGAGGCCATAGTTTGGGTCGCCCCACCGCTGCGGCAACAACAGAAACAGAGAGTAGAATGAGAGGGTGAGTGGTGTGGAGTAGGAGCATGGGAGTGGTTGTTACCTCTGCTATGTTGAACAGTTTAACAATCAGCAACTCCTTCTTTTCGAAGGGCAGGCGCGGTATAAAGTTGCTGCGCTTCGAGAACATGTACAGCAGATTGAGGACCGCCAGGACAATGTCCATGTTCTGTGAGGAGAGCAGCTGCGTCAGATGCTCGATCGAGTTGTACAGATGCCGCGAGAACGAGTGCTCGATCAGGAGTGTCGTAAAGTTGAGCACATGCAGCAGCAGTGTAACGTCCTGCGGGATATAAGGCATTTCGGTTATAATCATTCCATCTGTCTGTTGGTTTTTGAGGGGAGGGGGGTATGGGGGAGTGGGTGGTTGGGAACTACCGTGGGTGGACTTACCGTTGAGTGGAATTGTGTGTCGCATTGGAGCACAAATTCATTGGAATTCACATGTCGGGCTGCCTCATCCAGAATCTTGTCGAAACGATCGAGTATCTCGATCCAGTGATAGAGCTCGCACTTGCCGTAGATCCACACGTGGATTTTGTCGAGAAACTCGAGCAACTCCGCGCGTGTCCGTCGCTTTGTCAGCTCATCGATCAGTTCGCGGCACTCGGAAGTCAGCTCCGAAGAGCCCTTCTTCAGCTTTACCGTGTCCACCTTCATGGCTCCGGCTCGGGCTCGGGCGGGAATCGCCTTTCGCCTCGCGCCTCGCCGCTCCGGAAGCTTCCGCTCCCTCCTGCTGGTTGTTGCTCCTGCTGCTTCTGCTCCTCTCTCTGTCTCTCTATATCGCTTTGTGTGTGGTTGTTGATTTCTGTGGCGGTGCCTCTATTGGTGGGCGTCGGGTGGATGGTGGTGGCTATACGCTCCACCTACTCTCCGTCTCCTGGTTCGGTTGGTCGGTCGGGTTTTCTCTCCGTGTCTCTCTACTGATTAAGCATTGAATTTTGCCTCAAAAGTTATCGTCAGCGTGTTTAATAAACTGCAAGATTTTACCAAAAGAAACACACGAATAAAAAAAACATTTAGCATTAGTTATTTTCCGAGATTTTTAAAAGGATTATTGGGCCAAAAGCAAAAACAACAACAAAAACAAAAACTGTCACGAACGCACACATGAAATAAAATGTGGATGGGACGAACACACAAAAAAAAACAAGAAATATCACCGATATATATGATTGGAATTTGACTGGAAAAGAAAATGCAAACTCGGCGAAAAAATAAGTTTTTTGTTTTTCTTGTTGTTTCCTTTTTTCTCCAAAGGAAACTGCGTTCAGCACACACTAACACTAGCGCACTACCTACGCAGCAGAAAAAGAGTAACTGCACTTGGCAGCTGTGCGAACGAGAAGGGACGAGACTGCGAATCGAAATGAAAATGTTGGCTGAACACTGCCGGAATATATATCTATCAAAATAAATGAAAAATGGTTGAGAACGAGGAGCTCCCGGATTTATGGGGAAAACGCTGTGAAGGAACAAACACACTTGCACACGCGCACGCATAGCACAGAACACAGCCGAATAACTAACTGCACTTGTCAGCTGTGAACGGAACAAAACGGAAAGGCACACTACCACTACGTTAGCAGAAATGCTGCATCCCTTCCACACTTATACCAACCCAACGCACACACACACACACACAAATGCCAATTGGACGCACAATAAATTTCCAACTGGCAACAGCCGCAAAACAGCACACAGAACACAACACACGAAGAAATAACGCGTAAGGTAAATCGGAAAAAGAGCGCGCGCGCATTAACAAGAACTTTCCGATGCGTTACGATATAGATATAGAGTAAAATGCATTTGTAATTGTATCATTTCTGACAGACAGACTCACACACACCTAGCCACAGACCGGACAGGCACACGTCTATACACGCTCAAACGCAACATGTTTGAGCGAAATGTCAAATGAGCGCCAACCGTACACCGAGACGCGGCTCCGAGCGATGCGTCGAAGAGTGGAGAAGACTGATGAAAAGGGTGGAGTGGAGCGGTGCGGTACGGAGCCGGGAAAGGAGTCGCGACGGTGGCCTGTGCGTAAGTCAAGGTTGGCCTGCGACGCAAAACAAACGGTGGGAAGGGCGGAGGAGGGGGCTCGACTTGGAAAGGGAGCCTTATGCAGCCAGAAACAGTTTTCTTTTCATCTCTTTTTACTATGAAATTTACACTTTTGCGTGCATGTACATGTATGTCTAGGTGCAGTCGTGTGTGTGTGTCTTGCGGAGCACCCCGATTTCTAGAAACACTTGGGCATTATTTTTCCGTGCGGCATTTCCTACGATTTCTACCGACCCAATATGCATGTGTATGCGTGCGTGTGTTGAAGAAGTCTGTTTTTTCGCCCCAGCAACAAAAACAAAACCAGCTCCGATCCCTGTCTCGCCCGATGCAATGCATTTTTTTTCATTATGCCTTTTTCGATTCTTTTTTTGCACGAACCTCAGCCTTTTTTCTTTAATAATATAACGTTCTTTTCACAGCCAGGCCAGACACACGCGCAATATTAATGCATGAAATGCAAAAAAAGAAGTCCAAAGTGGAAAAAACTACCGTGAAAAAAAATGAAATTTCCACAGTCAGAACGCAGAAAACAATTAGAGTAGATGTGCGTGTGTGGATGCTTTCCTTGAAAAAAGAACTCTGATGCAATACTTACATTAATATTAAACTGCAGCATTGCTGCTATGTTATTTTCTCTGTAAAACGTTCTAATTTGGTATATTTAACAATCTCGGTTTTCTTGAAATTTCAACAACCAGCAAAAGGCAAATAAATGCAAGATAGGGATGATATAAATTGGTATATCAATATATCGATATATATTGTTGGATGATAATATATTTTTTACTGGTGCTATAATTATTGCGGAACTTATCATCAATGGCACTCTTTTCATCAACTTTTCTGAATTGTTTTTTGACTAAATGGCCACTAATTTGTATTGTTTCATGTCTTAAGGTCATAAATTCACGACTTTTGATTCTGCTTATCGATGCACAGGGTAGCTTTCAAAATAGTATCGGTATTTCTGTGCGATAAATGGAATTTATCGACGTATTATTTTTTAAATTACACTATTCCGAATCACAAACGCGATTAACGATGGTTTTTTCGGTGTAGATTCGTAAAGATCTGAAGTTGTATAAACTAAATAGGCATGCATGACAGTTTCGTCTTCCTCCAATAGAATGCCTGCCTCGTTCCCTGTCGTGTGCTCTTTAAGAATATAATATAATTCTCATCTTTGTTTTTGTTGTTGACCTGAATGCCTGTGTGGTGTGATATGTTTGATTACCCTATCTGGTCCTACAGTGGTTCGAAGACAAGATATACTTTTCGTCATATATATCTCGCTGGCGGCAGACTGGCATTGTGGGATGGGCGCATCTCCTCTTCCTGATGCTGAACGGAAAATCCACCAATATTGGATGATTGAACACATGCAGTAAAGAAATTGAATCGACATGAATATTATCTCCATATGAATTAATAAAATACAACTTCATTCGACTGCTGCCTTAATTATACTTAATTTGTCTTTATTGAATGCTGATGGCCGGCTTGCTTCCATTTTTGTTGTGGCCAATTCGCTAACGAAAGATAGAGCATTTACCGCTCTTCTGGGTCAGCGCCTCTCGGGCGGATATTGTGCGAATGGCGGTCCGAATCATGCGCTCTCGATATCCGCATTGCCATTGTTCCACTGGTCATTGGCCTCAAATGCTTCAATACATGAGGCAGGCGATGAACACCACACCTCATTCACTGTAATCGAATGCCGATCAAAGATCAAATGGAGAAGGTCCAGCTTGGTCTTGATCTCCAGAGTGGCCAAGGCCAGCCACAGATCACCCATCATGACGTTAGATATGGAGCTCTGAGTTCAGGCTGAAGCGCCAGCCACGGACGTGCTGTCAACGATGAATGCAATGCTCATCGCGGAATCAACGACGGACGCGGCTTGCCCAGACAAATTCGAGACACGCCTTTAGCCTCGACTCGGATTGTATTTTATTTGTTTCTTAATCTTAATTAAAATATATATAGGCGTCACTCGACGACATATCTCAGCAGACGAGGCGGTAGGAGATGTATCTACCGGCTGTTTCCGAGGAACGGATGATCTTCACCACCTGACCACGCTTAAGGCCGAAATAGCGAGCCACTGGATCGCCGGCCTGAATGCGCATCAACATGTTCTCCTTCAGCTTGTAGCGACTGAGCAGCTCCTGTTTCTCCTCCACCGTCATCACCACATGCTCCGGCACCAGTTCGTGTTCAGTGATGTTGATTAGCAGCTCAGACTCCAGAAACTGTTCCAGAATGTACTTGGGTGCCATGTCCACGAGCGATTGCTTGGCCGAGGGTGTCATACCGCCCTGGACCACAACGATTGCTCTATGAATGTTCTCTTCCTGCATACGGGTGCAATAGGTTTTGATCGTCTTGATGCCAATCTTCGGCTCCTCCGGGAAAAAGACGAACATCTGATCAGTGGGATCGTCGTTGTGGGCCACCAGTACAATCAGGTCGGACCTCGCCGGCCTCTTTTCGCTTGGCTTGTCGCCAAACATGTCTTTAAACTGCTCTAGCGTCTGGTCCAATTCGTCCTGCGTCACCAAATATCCACGATCGTGACTCAGTTGCATTATGGTCTTGCGAATGCGCCATAGTTTGTAGGTTTCAGCCTCGTCATCCATGGTTATTTTCTAAATTTTTTAATTGCAAAAAAATATGAGCACGCGGAAGCGTCAACTTTGTCGATACCGATGAAAAAATGATCTTAGCCCATTTCAGCCCCCTCTACTTAAACAGTTCATCGACTTGAGGTATGTCGGAAAGTATTACTGATTGTAAATTTTTCTTGTGGATCCATGCCATCTTTCCTTTGAGCTTACAAGAAAAACACGATATCTTTCACATCAACTGCGTTAAAATGATTCAATTTTCATTATATTTGATGGCATATTAAAATACCCCTTGGTCTACAATGGGTTAATCGGTCTCAGTATAGGATTGGAAACCATATTCCTCGAATTTGATATTCGATTTGAATATTATTTGAATTTTATACCATTGATGAATTAATTTCCTACAAGATTGGCTAACTGTAAGTACCCTTTTTTATTGGTCTGCTTATAAAAAAAGGTTTAGGCAAAAAAGGTACACCAAACTGAAAATTTTTTGACATGGCAACATACATTTGCTACATCATAACTACATATTTATGTAAAAACGAAGGGAAAATCGCGCCACGAAGAGAATATATACCAAGATAAATTTAGTAATAAGGTGACGTCGTCACCACATCTGCTCTCGTTCGAGGACCATCCGCCGGCTATTTTTTTCTAGAGCGTGTCTCTTTGAGAGCAGAGAGAGCGAGTTGGAAAGGTGGATGGACACTACCCTATTACTAAATTCCGGGGTCCTAAACAATAAAATTTAATAAATTGATGATGCCGATATGCCATAATATAAAATTAACTCAATTTGATGTTACTATTAGTATAATCTTTTTTTTTCGTTCGTCCGCTCATATATTGTTAAAACTCTTTCAAGAATACCTTTACTACAGAACTGTTGGCCAAATTTCAAAGCTATATATCTTGAAATTATAGAAATTAGTTCAAGGTTTAAATATGATTAAAGTGATTTTCTGATTAATTATGGAATATTTTATTTCTTTAAATTTCCTTTAAAAAAAATTCGCTTTTTAAAGTTATTTGATATTAAAAAAAAAAAACTAATGTAATTTTTGGAAATCGTTTGAATAAACTATAAAACTAGTAACTTCAAGCTTCTCTGGTACATAATCCATAATACTAAAAATAAAACGAGGGGGAACGTTGTGAGTTGCTGCGGACACCGCAACTCTACAGTTATACCCGATACTAAGTCAGTATGGCTCTCCTCCGGCAGACGCCGCTAATATTAAACGAAACGACAGAGTGCGTGCGAGAGAGACAGAAAATCAGTCTGAGCGTGACGTCGGGCGCTGCGTAGCCACTGAAAATTGATTTGTTCCTTTTGGCCATAAAAATTATCTGATCTGATCCAGATTCAGCAATCTGATAGATATGGTCGCTATCTATGATTCTGCGTTTTTAGTTTTCTCGAATCTGCAATATTGTGGATGCAACAAATTTTAGTTTTTTGTGTGGGCGGAAGGGGGTGGGGCGAAATTCTGAGATATACGTTTTATAGTGAGATCTAACAGAAGTGCGGATACTAAATTTGTTTACTCTAGCCTTAATAGTCTCTGAGATTTGTGGATGCCCCAGATTTTCGTCCTTTGCGGGGGCGGAAGGGGGTGTGGCGAAATTTGGACACGAAACGGTCAAGGTCCGATATCACAGGAGTGTGGATACCAAATTTGGTTGCTCTAGCTCTTATGGGTTCTGAGATCCTTGAACTCATATTTTGCAATTGGTAAAACCGACCATGAAACCTGTGTGTTAGAGAGAGACAGAGCGAGAAAGAATGAAATTGTTTTCTTAATTCTGGCTATAATAATTATACGATCTGGTTGAGATTTTACACTCTAGAAGATATGGTCATCCTCTACGATTCTGCGTTTTTGGTTTTATCGTATCTTTAAAAATGTGGATGCCACAGATTTTCGTCCTTTGTGGGGGCGGGGCGAAGTTTTGAAATATTTTTGTAGCAGTGACATATCACAGAAGTCTGGATCCAAAACATCGTTGGGATGGGGGTTTATGGGGTCGGAAACGATTCCTTCTGGACGTCACACACATCCACTTTTACCACAAATCTAATATACCCCAATACTCACTTTGAGTATCGGGTATAAAAAACCATGTAATTCTTAAAACTAAACTGGAGAGGTGAAATTTGTGGCATCAATAAAGTTGCCTGCGGAGCTTTCAAAGCTTCCGGTCTCGGCGGAAAAGAGTATCTGCTGGATGCGCATCTTGGCCCAGGAGCGGCTGTACGGATTGGTTATCTGCCGCAGCTGCGAGCCAATGCTTTGGCCAAAGTGCGTCATATCATCATCGGGATGTGGTACGGCAGGTGCCACTAGTGGTGGTGGTGGGGCTATAGCTGGTGGATCGATCTGTTGCTGCTGCTGCTCCGACTCCGGCTGATGGCTGCGGACTGGAGGCTGTGCAGCTCCCGGAGAAGTGTACACAGGTTTGCGCTGTTGCTGCTGCTGCTGTGCGTTTGGTTGACTCTGGCCCGTGACCTCCTCCGGTACTTGTGTATTTTCCTCTACAATAGAATCATCAATAGTGAGGTCGTAGGTCAGTCTGCGTCCGCTGCCATTTGTCATAGAATTATGCCGAGTGCTGCGACCACTGGGAGTGGACGATGCCACAAAATGCTGTTTGGTGCTTTCCGTATTGCTCACATAATCCGTTTCGTCACCAACCGCCGCCTCTATGGCATCCTCGCTCATACTAATGTCCGAAGTGGCATTGAAGAGGATTCTGCTAGCTGGATTCACGGCTGGCGTTTTCTTTCTCTATGTATGTCGATTATGTTTATTAGAAAGGGGGAACCCTATAGATGCATGTACTCACGTTCCTGCCGTGGGAATGCGAAAGGAAGGCATCGGCCAGATTGAACCAAATAAGCTTTGTGTCGTAGGGCTTGCCCTGCTCCTTGAAGCGCCTGCGAGTGCCCAGCTCCTTGGAGTAGACGGTGCGTATACTCTTGATCTTCCGCTTGATATCGTTGATCGACAGTTGTGGAACCTTGAGTTCCTCGATCATCGCGGTGTAGGCCTCCTCGCGGGCCACACGATTCTTGTAGTTCTCCAATTCGGGGTTGTACAAGCAAGGCTGCTGCTCGTAGGCCTCCAAGAACTTGCAGATTGAAATGCTGCCATCGCTCAATTTCGACATGGCTACAGTTTTTCGTTTTCAGTTTTCACTCTACAGGAATGGCTATTAACTGGTTACGAACTATATTATTCTTTTCTTGTTTTTCCTTTTGATTGTTTACTAGAGCCAGTGTGACCTATTGGATTTACCTATAAAATATACGTCCGACCCTCAGAAATATACCAAAATATGCGGTCTCAATTAAAAAATATACCGTAAATGTACTGCATTTTTGACGATTTTCATTGGCCGTTACATTTCCCGGTGGGGTTCACCCTTTCAATGGTTGGGAAATGCAGTTCCAATGATCTCCATAAATCCAATCCATAATAAATGATGCACGTAAGAACGATTTGAAAGCGAAAATTAAAAAAACCCTGCTTATGGATATTTCTATACCCTTTTTTCTTAAATAAAATATTTTAAATACCTATGCTAGCCATTCATTCTCCATTTTACATTTACATTAAATTTTACATGCATATCAACTGGACTTGTTTCAAAAGTCGGAGCAGGGTGGCCATTTACGTGGTTATATTTTTTTCGGTATATTTACGGTTGCCAGTTGTTTCAAAACTTGCAGAAGTAGATTTAATCAAATGTACGAAATGGATTCAGGTGTACAGATATTCCAAGTCTGTTATATGCTAGACATAGTCTAGGAGACACAAAGAAATTGCGGGAATATGCCACGGAAAATGATGGTTTGTTTCATGCTTATTTAGGAAAACAGTTTTTTTCAGCGCTACATTTTACGGTATATTTTATCGGTAAGTCCGCGGTCACACTGATCCCGAACCGAAACACGTGCGTGTAACAGTAATGAGTTACACCACTAACCATACTGTATACTGTACAGTATACTGTATGGTTAGTGGTTACATCATGTCTTGCTCACACACCTTTCATATTTGAATACTTTTTATAGTATTTTTGAGTATTTTCTAGTAATTTCCAGTATTTTTCAAGAAATATGCACATTTTCCGTCAGGTGTCTTTGTCGATAATTACATACATATGTAGTTGGTACGTAGCACGTGCGTAGTTACCGTGTATTTACCATATACAAATTAAATTATGCTTCATGTTTTACATTGCTTTTATTGCTTAAACCTTATTTTTATTAAGGAACCAAATGAAAATGAGTACTTGATGGTAGAAAATCTAGTAGGAAATTGATTCATTTAGCGAGTAAAATTATATGATAGGCCCTGAGGGTTCTAGCAGGCTAGTAAATCTAAGCCGAATATCAAAATCGAGGAATATCAACGCAATCACGGATGGCAGCGCTGCCAGCTGAAAAGCTGTGATCCCAAACCGAAACACGTGTAAACGCCTTTCAGCTGCTCTGTTGCGTGTGTGTGTTCTGTTCCCCCCTCTAAGCGGCCGCCAGCACCAGTCCGAAGGCAGACAGCCGATAATTTGCGAACCTGTGTTTTAAGACTTCGATCCGTTCCTATTCGCGACACCTCTATTATTTATTTAAAGTTAAAAGGTAAGTAATTGCACGGTCAAAGCTGTGGAAAATTCAATAATGTGCGCAATCCACACACATGCACTTTTCCCCTGCCTGTGTCTGTGTTTCTGCGAATGTCGTTCGCCGTTGGCCCTGCGTGTGTGTGTGCGTTGCGTTGCGTTGCGTTGCCTTGTGTGCGCGACTACAGACCAGACTACAGGGGCAAGGTGGTAGATCGGCAGTAGTGTTTTCTAGCGCGTGTACGTACACGAGTGCTGCAATTTTTTTTGCACATTTTCTTTCCGATTTCCCTTTTCCGCCCGTCCGTTGCAGCAACGGAATTCCTTGGTATTGTGTGTAGTGTATAGTGTATGCAGGCGCTTGGCTAACTGTGAACTGTGAATCATCGTGAAGCGCGCGAGGGGAAGCAGACGCGACGCGGAACACGAAGTGGTCCGCTCAGCAACAGTGAAACCCGCAAGCACACGCCGAAGGCACAGTGGAAATTTTTCCGTTTTTGCTGACGCTGTCTAAATTTAAAATTGAGACCAAACCAAACATTTGTTGAAACAGTTGTTCGCTTCGCTGCGCTGCTCAGGTGCAAGGTGGGTGGTGGATGGTGGATGTAGGTAAGGGGTCTGTGGGGGATCACATCTACATGCATACATACATACATACATATGTAGCGTCTGTGCTGTGGGGCTGGAGAGGACGGGACGCCTGAAAGCGTGCTGCACATGCATACGCAGGTGACCCTGATTACGCAGGGCCGCCCGACAACCCTGCTGTGCAGCGTTACATGACCTTGTCGTAACAGGGGCTCTTGCGAGCAAATAATTATCCCTTTTTGGCAGATTAATGTACACAGCAAACCCAGATTTTGTTGGCATTTAGGCAGAAATCCAGAATAGAAAACACTCAGCAACAAAAGTCCAAATAAAGTGTAATAGTGTAGTATATTTTTTGTATATTGGCAGATAAAATGCCTTCCGACTCAAAGAAACGCGATGCGCAGCGCAAGAAGGATGCCCGCAACAAGAAGATCCAACAGATTCCCTCCACCAAGAAGGCCAACGGCCAGCCGGAGCGCGAACTGACCGAGGAGGAGAAGCTGTGCGCCAAGCTCGAGGAGGAGGCCCGCATCAGTGCCGAGGCCCGCTCCTGCACCGGCTCCCTGGCCGTGCATCCGCGATCGCGCGATGTCAAGATCGCCAACTTCTCGATAACGTTCTTCGGCTCTGAGCTGCTGCAGGACACCATGCTCGAGCTGAACTGCGGCCGTCGCTACGGCCTGATCGGTCTCAATGGCTGCGGCAAGTCCTCGCTGCTGGCCGTGCTGGGCGGGCGCGAGGTGCCCATTCCGCCGCACATTGACATTTTCCATTTGACGCGTGAGATACCGGCCAGCTCGAAGAGCGCCCTCCAGTGCGTCATGGAGGTGGACGAGGAGCGCATCAAGCTCGAGAAGCTCGCCGAGGAGCTGGCCATGAGCGAGGAGGACGATGCCCAGGAGCAGCTGATCGATATCTACGAGCGTCTCGACGACATGTCCGCCGATCTGGCCGAGGTAAAGGCCGCCCGAATTCTGCACGGTCTTGGCTTCGACAAGGCCATGCAACAGAAACAGGCCAAGGATTTCTCTGGTGGCTGGCGTATGCGCATCGCCCTGGCCCGTGCCCTGTTTGTTAAACCGCATCTGCTGCTGCTCGATGAGCCGACCAATCACTTGGATCTGGACGCTTGCGTGTGGCTGGAGGAGGAGCTGAAGACATACAAACGCATCCTGGTGCTCATCTCGCACTCGCAGGACTTCCTCAACGGAGTCTGCACCAACATCATTCACTTGACCGCCAAGCGGCTCAAGTACTACACCGGCAACTACGAAGCGTTCGTACGGACACGCATGGAGCTGCTCGAGAACCAGATGAAGCAGTACAACTGGGAGCAGGACCAGATATCGCACATGAAGAACTACATTGCCAGATTCGGTCACGGCTCCGCCAAGTTGGCGCGCCAGGCGCAGTCCAAGGAGAAGACCCTCGCCAAAATGGTCGCCCAGGGCCTCACCGAAAAGGTCTCCGACGACAAGGTCCTCAACTTTTATTTCCCCTCGTGCGGCAAGGTTCCCCCACCTGTGATCATGGTTCAGGTAAGCGCCTCGACTCATCAATCATTCATCATTCAGCGCATCTATCCAGACATCTCTCTGATCCCTCGCGTGTCTCTTTGCAGAATGTGAATTTCCGGTACAACGATGAAACGCCTTGGATCTACAAGAATCTGGAGTTTGGCATCGATTTGGACACACGTCTCGCTCTGGTGGGCCCCAACGGAGCCGGCAAGTCGACGCTGCTGAAGCTGCTTTACGGTGATCTGGTGCCCACCGCTGGAATGATCCGCAAGAACTCCCATCTGCGCATCGCTCGCTACCACCAGCATCTGCACGAGCTGCTCGACCTCGATGTCAGTCCGCTGGAGTACATGATGCACGCCTTTCCCGATGTCAAGGAGAAGGAGGAGATGCGCAAGATTATCGGCCGCTACGGCCTCACGGGTCGCCAGCAGGTCTGCCCCATTCGCCAGCTGTCGGACGGACAGCGTTGTCGCGTCGTCTTCGCCTGGCTCGCCTGGCAGGTGCCCCACCTCCTGCTGCTGGACGAGCCGACCAATCACTTGGACATGGAGACAATCGATGCCCTGGCCGATGCCATCAATGACTTTGACGGCGGCATGGTGCTAGTTAGTCACGATTTTCGTTTGATCAATCAGGTGAGAAATCAATCGGGATTTGGAATTTGCGATTCATGATGGGATGATGATGCTTGGGATGCTTATGGACGATCTTTATGAATTTTCCAGGTGGCTGAGGAGATTTGGGTGTGCGAAAAGGAGACGGTTACCAAGTGGAAGGGCGGCATTCTCGACTACAAGGATCATCTGAAGAACAAGATCACCTCAGAGAACGAAAAGAAGGCCAAGGCGGCAAAGTAGACAGATGCTACACAGAACACAAATTAGTAACATACAGAAGGAACACACACACACACACAGCACCCACAACCACACACAACCGCACACACCCTATGGACATTCAGGCAAACGCTCCTCCTGCGCTCTTCAATATACAACAAACACCCATTCGATGACAATCTCAAGGGGATTGCTCCGCCCTCCGCCCCCCCTTAGGATTATCCCATGCGAAATTACGATTTGAGTTTACACTACGCTATAGTCAAGTCATGTAAACCCACCCCAACCATATTGAAGCATATATATACTAGAAACTACATAAGAACCACACCATATACCCACACACATGTGAGAGTCCGAAACTCAACAAGAATACACAAATTTTTAGCTGAATTTTTTCTTTTTTATGTGTCGAATTAAATTTAAAAAAAAATAAACATTACAAATGTATAAATATTTATATGTATATTTATATCGTATATATACATGCTATATACATACATAGATACATATATATGTATGTATACCAATCATTCATCAAATGTGGAGTAGTCGTCGGAGAGGAACAAAACATCAATAACTAAACAGAAAAAAAGAAAAGATAAAAACAAAAACTACAAAAACTGCTTGTGATCTTGCGCTTATTCGTAATTTCGTTTAATTCTCCGCTAGGTTTCAATATATATTTATATATATATATGTATTTTTTTTTTTGTAATTTATTTACGCCTTAACGATACGAGTATATATATATACATATACATACATGATAGATACGATATATACACCACAGATCAGATCTATAAAACACAGATCAAGTTAAAGATAAAGATAATAGATACAACAACAAAATATACTACTACTACTATATGTAATTAAAGTTCTGATTAAGAAGCCAGAGAGTGACAAAACAAAACGAAACCAACAACCATGTGTGTAAAGAAAACAAAACAAAACAAAGAAGAAAAACCATACCGAGATGATACTGCCTATCCCCCACATCCCATTCCGCTGGATGGGGGGGGGGGCTCAGGCGTTCAGCCGTTGCTTAGAAATTTCAATATTCAATATATCAAATTTGATAGGGGAATTCGAATGAATTCGAGACGCTCGAGATGGAGTATTCGAGACGTTCGAGTATTACAATACAAAATATAAAATACAAAAAATAACTAAATATGTTTAAAAACAAAAACTATTAAAACAGGAAGAAAGAACAAAAACACATATAATATTATTTATAGGTTATTTAACAAATTGGAAGAGTTTTTATATACGAGTATGCCACAAAGATATATACAAATACACGTGCCCGTATCCCACATACAACAACAACAACAGCAGCAGCAACAATCTATGCATAGATGAATGATTTTAAGCAAAAAGCAGCTAAGCTAATGTTAAGGTTAAAGGTTATGTCAAATCAATAAGCCATCAGCTCCAAATGTGAAATTGCTGCGAGAAAAGAAATACAGCAAACAGTTGCTTGAAACAAAGTAATAAACGAAATAATTGACCAAAAAACAATCAAACTCGTTTACTCATTTCAGAATCTGTGGTCATTCAAATGGTTCTGGAACTTTCAAGAACCTTTTATAGCCCCGGAAGGTGGTTTGTCCTGCGATGCTGACCACCCGAATACTCATGTGATTGGAATTCCTCAAGGTAGAGGAGTGAGTTCCCTCCATGGATACCTTATATTCTTAAGTATGAGATATATCAATAACTTACCAGTATATAAGGCCTCCATCGTTCATCCAATTCCAGCTCCCGTCTTTCGTACCAGAGTGTGCTTTTTAAGCTTTTGTTACAATTTTTCAAAGTTAAGAAATTCCATGGGCTTTGTGGATCTTTTCTACTACCCCAGGAGTGCTTTTTCCCAGTAAAGCAGCTCGGTATAATGGATATTCATCTGTGATATTTGTTATTCTATATACTCGTTTATCTCTAGTTTCTTATATCTAATACAAATTTAATTTCTCGAGTATTATCCCAAAAGTAAGTCGCAAGTTCTGTGAGGTAATCTCCATTTGCTTTGCTTTATTGTACAATTTTCAAATCTGTGTGCTATTAGATGACTTATAACATTTATTGTTAGCGCATTTACATATGTATCATATACGGATTCCCTTTATTGTTGCACGGTTTTCATATATACCCTTGCAGAGGAAGCACCACCGACACTACCATCTATATCGGGTATTAAAAGAGTAGAGGGACATACTATTTTATTTTTCAACCAAACTCTGCTTTAGGTCACCCCTATGCTGCTTGGCACATGGTCTGCATTCCTGATAGTATATATTCTCTTGGCCATTATTATTTGTATTATTACAAGGCCTTGTTTCGACTTCGACTATATATTGATTATGATAATAAAGAGGAAGACGCCGGTCTATTTGGGGATTTGTCCCGATGTTTCCTGCTTCATTTCACAGAACCTCTAGGGGTGAGGTGATATCTCACGAGACATACAGTTCGAAGAAATAAGAATTTGTTGTTATTTATGCCAAATGGGTTACAAATCGGATGACTATATCATACAGCTGCCATTGGAAAGAGCGGTGGAGGTTATATTTTAAAAACAAATCGGATTCCTATTGGTATTAAAGTTCAACAGCAGACCGAACAGAAGGGACCGATCAATACTCAATAGCCTTTAAATGGTCGTCCGTCCAACTGCAAGGGTATATAGACTTCGGTGCGCCGAAGAGCGCCTCCTCCCTTACCTGCTGCTTCCCGCTTCTGGTCTGTGGTTCGTTTTCTCGTTTCTTGCGTGTACGAGTGTAGGCACGTTCAAAGGTTGAATGGTAGACTTGGTTACACTTAAGCAATACTAGTTACGTGTGCTAACGCTAATCAATAATCGTAATAAAATAATCATATATGTATGTATCGTATCATATACTATGCTACAATCCATGGTACTGGTAATCGTACAATGAATGCCGTGACGAGCCGTGCTCGCACGCGACTAGTACACTGTGGAGAGGTCCGCGTAGATCAGTTTAAGCAGCTGGCGCTCAGCATTGCTAGCCGAACTGAACTCGGCCGCAAAGTCCCGGAGTAGGTGCTTCAGATCGCACATTTTGCGCTCGACCCAGGCACAGATGATTTCGGCGAGGGCGTACTGCTGCTGCTGGGGCACAAAGGCGCCGGGCCGCTCCACTAGCTCGCTGTTGTAGCCCGGACAGGGGCTCGCCTCGAACTGGGCGAGGCTGTAGTAGTGCTCGATGAGCTTGATGTGGGCTGGCGATTGCCGGGCAGGCGGCAGATTCAGGTGGACCAGCAGCAGCAGGCGCAGGACCTCCACACGCCTGAGCAGCTCGCTGTACATCAGCGCCCCACGACGCTCGTAGATGTTGTCCACGATGTCGTCGTAGTGCTGGAGGGCACTGCGGTAGTCCTCGCGCTGCGTGCTCAGGTCGGCGCTCATTTCCAGGTCGTGGATCTGGTGGGTGGGCGAGGCGAAGCTGCTGGTGCGGTCCAGCTGCCGCTGCAGCTGCTGCAGCTCGCGGAGAATGGCCGCCTTGAAGACGCAGCCGTCCACAACGCGCTCCGCTGCCTTGTGGTAGCAGTGAATGGCGCCCTCCCGGAAGCCACAATGCTGGGTGCGCAGGTGGAGGAGCCCGAACTCGTTGTGGGCCTGCAGGAAGGCGCGGGCGGCTCTCACATAGGCCTCCGACTCCCGCTGCGGCGCCCCGCCAAAGGACTCGCACTTGGCATACCCAATGTGGCACATGGCCGCGTACTGCATGATGCCCGACTCCTCGAAGCTGTACGCCAGCCTCTGGAAGTCCGCCTGTACATCATTCACGCTGGGCGCAAAGCGTCTAAATGAGAACGACAGAAAATGAGTCAGATATGGAATTCAGTTGGGCGGAAGTTGGCGGTGGGCTGGCTTGAATGGAAGGAAGAACTAACTTGAAAAAGCCGGCACGCTCGAACTTTTTGATTTTATTGGAGGCACGCAGATATTGCTCGATCAGGTTTTTGGGATACTGCTCGACATGGTGTTGCTCGGCCAGTGGTCCTTGGCCCGGGGAGGAGGTACGTTGGTGGGTGCCTGCACTGCCGCTGCGTAGCTTGTCCATGCTGTGCCGGTGGCCGGGGTGACGGTGGCGGTGGCCTTGGCCGTGGCCGTGGCAATGGCGGGTTACAGCTATAAAAACGTCTCAATTGTGCATTATTTCGTTGTAACAAAAACAGTTTCCACGGCTGGTGCTGCCAGTGCTGGGAAATGCCCTTATATGTGTGATTCAACATCGAATGCAGTGTTGCCGAGCCGGACTTTTTCCCGTCAAATTTAGCCTTTTTCATAGTCAATTAGCGGGAAAAAATTCCGGCAGTGTTGCCGTGTTGCCACAAAAACTGGACTCGTTACTTTCGGAACCTTCCTTCTTTGAACCTTTGACTTCTTTCGCTAAAACCTTTTTTTTGACATAAAAGAAAGTATTTCGAATAAGCCAGTAAAGTAAAAAATTAATTCATAAATCGTATAAAATTATGTGGGCATGGCTAAATGTTTTATATAGCTAGTAATATTCAACGGAAGATCAAAATCGGAATATGTAAAATATAACTTGAATTCGTCAGTATATTTTTAAAATGAGACCGTATGTAAACCATACTATCGACCACTATCGAAAGTTCTGCCATCGATAGTTCTCCACCTCTACCTCTTTCGTCTTTCGCCAATCGCCAACCGAAACATAGAAATCCAATAAATGCATTAAGCCAATCAAGTAGGAAATAGACGGAAGGGAACAGGCAATTGCTTTCATACGCTAGTTTTCAATCGCCCCAGCCAAAATGGCCATTGTCGAGCACGACAACGTCTTCATATTTGTGCCAAATTTGATTGGTAAGTTTTGGCGGAGCGAATCGGTCGAGTCCGCCTCTGGACTTACGGAATGTATACATACCTGAACCCGTGTGATTGTTCCTGCTGATGGCTGTTGAGGGGGGCGGGTGCGTCATGGGGCCTAATTTAATTAGCCGTGTGCTTGTGCGTTGTCATGCAACCTGTAAAATGCACACTGCCAGTGCATGGACCAGCCCCAGCGCAGCCCAGCCCAGAGTCGGCCTCACATCAATGTCACTTCCCGTATCGATTGAGCCGCGCCGCTGATGAATATTTGTTTGCTCTTCCCATTGCAGGCTATACACGCATCGTTTTGGCCCTGATTGCGTTCTGGTTCATGTCCACGAACTATGTGATCTCCGGCTGGTGTTATATAACCAGCGCCCTTCTGGATGCCGTCGATGGACACGCCGCCCGGGCCTTCAATCAAAGTAAGCAATATCAAATCGAACGCTAGTATCTAGCGGGCACCCAGTGCCCTCATCAGGCCACATGGCACACACACAGACGTCGCCTGTACACACCTGTTCAAACAATGACTATAGTATCCGACGAGCCTTCAACGGAATTATTTGGCTATTTAATGATATGCGCACTTTGCCCATACGAATGCGGCCTATCAACACACCATACCATATCGCACCGCACATCCCGACAACCACCAACCGACCGAATCGTATCTTTATGTAGTTGCGGCAGTATCTGATATTGGTTTTACCGCACGTCAATGCTTAATATGGTCATGGTTGGAGGGGGCGGCGCCCACTTCAGGCCCTCTATTCCGCTGAGGCATTGATTTGAACAATTAACCATTTCGTACCCTCTTTTGGGCTTCCAGGCACACGCTTTGGGGCCATGCTGGACCAGCTCACTGATAGATGCGGCACCACGGGCCTGCTGGTCACCCTGGCCTACTTTTATCCTCGCTACATGTTCTGGTTCCAGCTGTCCATCGCCATCGATGTGGCCTGCCACTGGCTCTTCATGCAAACGTAAGTGGTTGAGTTCCGCTATCAAACTCAATTAATCTCCTATCTGCAATGTGTGTGTATTGCAGGAGCGTTGTGGTTGGCCGAGCCTCGCACAAGGTCAACGAGAACTTTGTGATGCGTCTGTATTATCAGAAGGACATTTTGACCTTTATGTGCTGCGTCAACGAGCTGTTCTATGTTTGCCTGTACCTCTTGCATTTCACCTACGGTCCCCTCAGTGAGTATTTGTTGCGTCATTATGTGTGTGGATTGGACTGACTTAATTTGTATATTCAACTTGAACTCTCGCTTGAACTGTGATAGTATTCGGCGCCTCGCTCTTCAAAATACTGGCCTTCCTCACGGGCCCCTTTGCCGTGCTGAAGGCCTTGATCTCCGTGATGCACGCCTATGTGGCTGGCATTGATTTGGCCGCTGTCGATGTACGTGAGCGCCAGGAGAGGCGCCAGAAGCCCGACCCAGTGGCAGTGGCTGGCAAGAAGTTGGAGTAGGCGGCTCTAGTCAAAATCCATTAAATGCCAACAGCTCCAACAGCTCCAGCTTTCAACTTAAAGTACTAAAGCAAAACAACTCTTGATTCCAGAAAGAAAACAAAAAAAAAGCAAGAAATAAGATGAGAAGTGAAGAAGTAAAGCGTAGAGAAAGGATAGAAAAAGAAATAGAAAAAAAAACAAAGAAAAATATATTAGATTATTAATTATTTGTACGCGCTATTGCAATATTGTTGATTTTATTTTGTATTTTGATTAGTTATACGGCGGAGGGGCGTGCCCGCCACTGATGTGTATTTAAATATTCTAGAATGGCATGGAAATTGAGTGAGGGAAGCGATTCTCGTTCCATGCGCGCGAACAACAATTCAAAACAATTGTCGTTGTAGTTGTAGCTCTTGCATATTTAGTTTTGCTTCTTTTAGTCAATGATAATTTACATCTTTTTTGTGAAGCTTACACTTATATACACATATTTTACGTATCTGTATGCTAGATATATGATTGAACGTCGTCTATATATATATATATATATATATGTAGCGGATACTTCCAGGAATAGCTTCAAACTCGTATATTCGTACGTGTAGCCCAACAGAATCTCATTTTGTACACTATTATTTTGTTTGTCAATTATATTGGTTCCAGACATTGCAGATTACACACACAATCCATGTTAAATTCTTAATGTAACTAATGTATTCCTAATCATAAGTCAAGAATTGTAATTGGAGACCTGCATGAAATATATATTTAACCATTATCGTGACCACTCCACCTGTGTTCCTCCTCAATCCTGGAGTATTGTTATTGATAGACCTGTCAACACACATTCAATGATTTCTGTCTTCGCACATCAAAAGGGAGAGCACACAGAAACGTACACTTTTAATTTGTTTTGTACTTCGAAATTATACTCCTAGCCAAAACAATTTGCTGCAAGCTTCGAGTACTTTTGCAGGTTTGAATTACGCGCCCAATTGCTCTGCGTTGCAGCCCTGCTCCAGACCAGACCAGCTGACGCATCTCTTTGCAGCCCTGGCCCTGGTAATTTGTATGTTTATATTTTTCTGGGTCAGGCCACATAAAGACAAGCCACTGCGGACAGCGGCTCAAAATGATTATAAACTGGAAGCGCCTGTCCAACATAGTGCGCTATACAGTGGCCTATGCTGCGATAACCCATTGCACATTTGAGTATATTGGCGACTTTGTACTGGTGAGTGTGATGTTCAAGGCTCCTCTGCGGTCCAAAGCTAATACGCATCTGCCCGCCCAGTGCAAAGGACCCTCGATGGAGCCGACTCTCTTCACGGACAACGTTCTGGTGACCGAACGGCTTACGAAGCACTGGCGCGGCTACAAGCCCGGCGACATTATCATTGCCGTCTCGCCGACCAATTCCAAGCAGTGTGTCTGCAAGCGTGTGGTGGCCGTCTCCGGCCAGGAGGTGCGCATAGCCCAGCCCCGTTCGGTTGCCAACAAGACCAAACCAGCCATGATAAAGTCCTATGTGCCGCGCGGCCACATTTGGATTGAGGGCGACAACAAGGACAACAGCTGCGACTCCCGCGACTATGGCCCCATTCCCGTTGGTCTTATCCGCAGCCGTGTGGTCTACCGTGTTTGGCCGCTGGCCGACGCCTGTGGCGAACTGTAGGATCATCTGTAGATCTGTAGTATATCTTCTATTCTGCCAAGCTTATTTTTATTTGTAATGCGATGATGTACCCTTACAAAGGGTAGGGGTAGGGGTATGGAAATTGTTTAGAGACTGTTATAAAGAATATATATTTACGAAACGAATGATGCCTCTCATCCGGCAAGCAATCGTTCGCATGGCCGGGTAATCCCTTCCTCAATGCGATCCTTAGGAAATCCCAAGATTGTCACTTGTTTGGCCAGTGGCTGGCCTTTCATTTGGCACATTTAACAATACAAAGTACATACAAAAATTAATCTCTATTTATCTACATTTTTGTGCAATTTCCCTAAAAACGTCCTCTGCCATTTTCAATTATTTTGGCTTCCCATTACCATTCCCTTTCGCATTCGCATTCACAGTTTTGGGCCATCGTCTGGCTTCGACTGCCCGTCCACAAAGTACAGATTGTACTCCCTCTTGAGCACTTGGTGCACCTGATTGCGGCAGGTGAGCACCAGGCCGCGCTTCTGGTAGTCGAGGAATGTGTGCACAAACTGCCGATTCGTCTCGTGCACCTGGGGATGCTGCAGGTACTCGGCGATGGGCATCCACTGAAGGCGGGCGATCTCGCGCTCGCAGCGCGTAAAGTCCAGGTTGAGGGGCTTCAGGGCAATCACCATATATATATCGGAGCAGCCGAAGTTGCCGCCGTGCGCGTGCCGCAGGCACACCACCGAACGAAATGTAGTCCTGATGCCAGTCTCCTCCTCCACCTCGCGTATGGCCGCATCGATGAGGTTCTCGCGCGGCTCTACATAGCCTCCTGGCAGCTTCCAGCTGTTGGGTATCATCGCATAGCGATCGGAGACCACCAGCACCTCGTCCTTGTCGTTGATCACCAGGCCCCCCACGCCCAGCAGGGTGTGGGCGTAGTTGGGCAGGTTGATGGACTCGTGCGTGGGCAGCCAGCGGTACATGACCACAATCCCGGTGCGGGCGTGGTGGAAGTCGAAGCCGGCCGCTGCCAAAATGGGCACCCAATCCGCCTGCTCCTTGTACACGCGAAACCAAATGGCACGGTTCTTGTTCTTTGTCCACCACTCCAATGATTCTGTGGGATTTCAGTTTTCAGTTTTCTTGATTTCTTTCTTGACTCTTATTTACTTACTGTTTAGCTTTTCCTCAAACTCGGACTTTTCGACGGTCTCCTCGCGGCCGTCCACTGTGACGCCAGCGAAGCGATCCGTTTGACCGCGAAATACGTCCGGCGGCGAGTCCATGGCCTTGTGTCTGCAATTATGTGCACATTTATATTTATGTACGGGCTATTCTGATACTTTTGCCTGGGGTCTGGGTGTCTACTTACGAGTGAAACGCTCGAGTAAACTGCCGTGACTGATGTTGGGTGGCCTGCTCGCGCTGGTGCTGGGGGGATGTTGAAACGGAGGAGGTGCTTCTATTGGTCCGTAGGCGCCTTCTCCATGAATTGAACGCTTGCAAGGGTAAACGAGTACTGCGACCCAATATGGCTGTAGACAACATTAAATGATTGCGCAATAGCAACGGGCAGCGCCGTTAGCAGCAGCAACTTCTTCCAAACTTGTCACAATTTCCAGAGATTACGGAGATATAAAACGAAGCGCTGGGCTGGGCATGCTGCGTGAGAAATGTAAGAGGGTGGAACGAGTGAAAACACCAGCAGTAAGAAATCTGCAGCGCTCCAAACGTCTGTTCGATGTAAATCTGAAGTGGGGGGGACCCTATCTCGTCTGGCAAAGAGATAAGCGTTAAGCGTTGTCATTGCAGTGACGTTGTTGAGTTCTGTTCCTGACATTTTGAATTTGGCGCGAGTTGGTGTCATATGCACATGCAATAGAGATGAGTCGTGACCGCTTCCCACTCGTTGGGACCTCTGCCGAAATGCAGTTTGAATGGATTTATGTAATAGCAGTAGCAGTAAAAGCGACTTAATCGGGTGTGATTTATAGCTAAAGTTTTTGATGGTCAGAACAAATGAAAGCAGCTTGTTAGTTTGTTGCGATTTAATGATTTTTTGTTGTTCATAAATCAAGTGACACTCGGGAATAAGTAACGTAACAGTAAGAGTAACCGTGACGAGTAGTCGGCCATCTCTGACCAGGAAACCTTGAATGGCAATTTGCTTGTGTTATTTGTTTTAATTGCTTCCGGATCGGTTATGTGCTAGCTTTTATGGGAGGCGAGTGTGTGTGCATTTATCAGCTGTTATCAACATCGTTCAGTCATTGTATGCACGCTTTATATAACAAACAAATCGAAACACTGCTTGCACTTACTGCACACTCGATGCCTGTCACGGCTACTGTCGCCCACTTGGATGCTAACGAATTGGGGCGATAATAGAACCGAACCGAACCCACTTTAATCTATGCACCGGAACAAAGTACTTTTTGTAAATACTTGCCTAGCAAAACAAACCTTACAATTGGAAACACAGTTCTGCGCCCAAGATTGATTTACGATAGTTATCGACTTGTCGAGCCAGTGCTGGTAAACTCTTAGGGTGTACTGTTCGCGCGCCTTTTTTAATTTGAAATATTTACAATCGAAATGCCCATGTAACTCTTGGGCTGGTGAAGAAGCTCGGATCATATCCGTGTTTTGCTTGCGCACTTTATTCAATTTGAAATATTTACAAGCGAAATGTTCAACTACCTTATCGTATACAAAATCTCTTTAGCTTGTCTTGAGTAGGCGAGGTATTTTCGATGGTTTGGGCAGCGGGACATCTTTACCACCCTGCAAGCGGTCTTCCATGATTAGCCAGCTGTCGTTCAACGCCTTGGTGGCCGACATGCGACGTCGTGGATCAGGGTTCAGCATGGGCTTCAAGAACGACACAAATTCGCAGGCAGCGTTCGTCCCCCACTTGTAGTCGTGGATTAGGACGGAGACCAGGTTGCGCTTCTCCAGATGGGTAATGTGGAGCAGCTGTCCATCCGGCTGGAATATCTCCGACGAGTATATGCCCTGGTCAATGAGATACTGGGGAATGGGGCCGCACGTCTCGATGATGTTTGCGACGTGCATCTCGTCACTGGTGGCCGAGTCGGTCGCCTTGCCGGGCTCAAAGAGGTAGTCGCCGGTGGCCAGCTCCCAGAACATGCAGGCAGCGCTCCAGATGTCTGCCGTTTCGTTGTAGCCAGCCCCAAGGATCACTTCCACGGCCCGGTACTCCCGGGTCTGTATGTCGTCCGTATAGTGATGGTCGAACCAACAGGCATTGCCCATGTCTGCAAGCTTCACGGACAACTTGCACGGGAACAGAGCCGGATCTCGGCGCGCGACTATGTTGCGGTCCCGCACATTCCCATTCGCATCCACCTTAGTCTCGGACAACCGATGTTTCCCCTGTTTTCCACCTTTTTGTCGAGCACTTCCGTTCTTCCACTTGCGGTTCGTCACTGGCGCCACCTTCGGCTGGTCCAGTTCTGCGGCACGATCGGCCTCCAGCACCTTCTCCTGGACGATGCGCATGAAAGCCACCGGGTTCTTGTAGAGAAGCTTCAACATTTTCGATCCCTTGGCCAGGCTCCTCTCCATGGCATCCGCGGCGTCAACGGCATCAGCGGCTGCATAATGGTGGTTGCCTGCTTTCAAACGGTTCTTTTTCTTCGCCGATCTAAAATCGACTGGCTCGCTGCTGTCGAAGGACTCGCAATCGAGGAGGAAGCATTTCATGGCATAGGCGGCGGCGTCGGTGTCCTTCTCCAAGTGACCGAAGCGCTCCAAGTGAAAGATGTCGTACTCCTCGAGGATCGTCAGACCGTCAAAGCTGAAGGGCATGAAGGGCAGCATCCCGGTCACACCCATGCCGGCGGTGGAAGGGCTGAGGAGACTGCGACTGGCCAGCTGTATTAGATCCTCAACTGCGCGCCGGCGCAGCAAACGGCGATGCGTCTCGAAGAAGCTGGTCGTGCGCTTGATATGTCCCCGAAGCCGCTTCTTGGCCGTTTTTGTCAGCTTGGCATCACTGCAGCGAGTCTCTTCCTCACGGCCGGGCGGCATGGCAGCAGGGAGGGGATTCGCTGGAGAGTCGTCAGTATGGCTGGTACGGCAGTGGGGCTTTCGGGTCGGAGTTTGCCTGGTGTGGGCCTCCAAATAGGTGTTGGCCGCCTCAGCGGCCTTGCTCCGCACATTAAGGTCGTCCGCCTCGAGCAGCACATTCTCGGGCTTGATGTCCGTGTGGATGATCCGGCACTGGCCGTGCAGATAGGCCAGGCCCTCCAGCACCTGACGGGCAATCTGCCGGACATTGTAGTTGGGTATACCCCGGTAGTTGGAGCGTTGGATCAGACAGAGCAGGTTCTGCCCGAGTACCTCGAACACCAGACAGTGGTGCGTGCCGTTCGGTCCGCTCGCAAAGAAGTTGTCCGTGAGCGAGACCAGGTGGGAGCGCAGTGCGTGCGACTCGTACTTGGACACCTTCTTCAGCAATGTGATCTCGTCGCGCGCCGTGCCCGCAAAGTGTTCCGCCGATTTGCACACCTTGATGGCACAGTAGACCTCCGATTGCAGGTCGAAGCAGAGCCACACGATGGAGAAGTGGCCCCAGCCGAGCTTCTTCAGCACCACGTAGCGGTGGCTCAAGAGGTCGCCCAATCGCACCGGATGATAGCCCCCCACGCAGTAGTCGCTCGCGTTCTCGTCCACCCCATTGGTTGTCGAGCTGCCACTGCAGCTACTGTTCTGGTCAAGGCCCACCTGGTGCACCGCGGCTTCGGACAAGCAGCTGGAGGACACGGTCTCCTCGGAGCAGAAGCTCAGCTCCTCATCACTGTTCTGTGCGTCCGATTCCTTCACCGAGCTGGAGCTCTTCCGCAGAGTCGCTTCAGTCTCGGGGTCGGACGCCGGAGAGGGCTGATCCACGGCTCCACAGTTCCAATCGTCGTTGTCAGGTTCGAAGTCACAGAAGTCCTCTTCGTCTGACATGTCTGCTGGCCCGCTGGAGCACCTAGACGCCAAATGCACACAAGATATTTAGTCTTAAAGGGAATTCCTCTCAAATAACTACTAAATACGTTCCGAAAAATATGGAAATTTGTGCCACAAAATAGTTGTAGGCAACCTGAAACTAATCTGAAACAAAGCAAAAATGACTAATGGCACAAAAACACGTATGATCTGGTTACTTGTGATCCGAAGGTACTTTTGCTAAGGCTAAGGCTAACAGATATCCGAGCACCTCAAACAGATCGGACAGATGGGACTAGGCTCTTTCGGGTATAGGTGTTATAGATCTTTCTATAGACAGGGCTGTGGTAAATATTGGTTGTATTACCTTTGAATGGATGGTAGAACGACCAGAACTGGCTAATAATCGTGCGGTACGAGTACACTACAATGTTGAATAAGATCGATCCTCCCTAAAATAAGAAGAAATGCAAAGATGATTAAGGAAAGGAAGTAGTACCTACAAATATACTCACTGTCTTATTCGTTCCTTATATGCATGAAGACATTGATTTTTTCCGCTTTAGAGAGTGGTGTTTTGATGTGGCGGCTGAAAGTGCCTGTAGGCAAATAACAAAACTGGGAAACCCAATCCCCAATGAAAGTTTGGAACCAGGCCTCCTACTTAGGACTGAATTTACAAAAAAATAATATCATATAGATTGTTTATGAACGGCCACTTCGATGTGGAATGTGTGTTGCAGTTGCAATTGCGGGAATTGGATTGGGAGTGGGACCGGGTATGGGGTGTGCTTTTGTGCGAGTGCATTGATCTGGAAAATGCCATTTAAGGCAACAAAGCGGCAATACCAAAACATATAACCAGTTTACAGTGCCGGCGAAGGGATTATAAAGGATCGTTAAGTTGTTGCGAAATGCACATAGGCCCCGGAGTCAGCGGGATGCCGGACGACGGATGCCGCATTACAACCGGAATCAAAGTCTGAATCCGAATCCAAATCCAAATCCAAGCCGGAATCACATCCACTCCGTCCAGTAGGTGTCCGTCTCAGGTGTGTCATCGATCGGAGAACAATAGCTTCCATTGAGGGTCTCTCATTCGGATATGTTTGTATTTTGATTGCCAGCTTAACAACTTTTTTGTCCGTCTTTTTTAAGAGTGAAATTTCCCAAAAAAAAATATGAAAGAAATGTTACCCCTGCCGGGCGAATTTTCTCCACTTTTTACAGTCGATATTTGCTCAGTTGTTTAAATAAATTTTCCGCTTAGGGTTGCTGCGCGACCTACTGTTTGCACACAATGGATTTCCATGCGTTTTGGGCTTAAGTGAAAATGCCTTGTCAAATATTTATGAAAGAATCGATTGCGTGGAACGGGGGGGCTGAGTACGAGTATCTCTCTCGGGGGCCAGGGCCCCGAACGACAAGCCCAGAACTTCAGAGTTGCGACCTGTGTGCGTGGCTGTGTCTGTGTGGAAAAGCGTTCGTTCCCAGGCGCGACGGCGCGCCTGCGCGTCTTCAACCCTTACCCTCACACCCTTTTCCTGGGCCATTTACCGCTTTTTTATGAAAATCTTGTTTGTAATTAGGGAGTTTTCCTTATCATTTTCCGAATGCCCTTGGCATTGTTTCTTTACCAATTAAGCGTCATTTTCAAGTGTCCCGTTTGGGTGAAATACACATCTATTTGCCTAGGCAGCACTTTCGTGCCGCGAAAAGAGGCGGACGGAGAGGCGTTTTGAATTTCACTTATTCACATATAACTGGTTGCCTCCTAATGAACTGTTTATGTGCACACAATGGAATGGAAATGAACATAAATTAATGGTAATTTTCCCCTTTTTCCGAGGGGCCAAGCGCAAAGCTTATTCTGTTCTTTTTTACATTTTTGTGGGTGGTTCAGCGCCCCTGGCAGCTGGAAAAATCGCGATTGCACACAAAGAGCATTATAATTTAGACACACACTTTTTCCAGTAGTTTTGGTGTTAATTTGAGACACGCATTGGAGAATATAAGCAGCCAATCCGAGATCCACATTGCACTCAAAGGCAGAGAATGAACGATTCACAATCTAGAAGTTCCACCATGTGGCAGGTTACAGGTGCTGCGAACTGGTTCATTTGGAGAGCCAAAGAGCAGCGCAAAATCGTGTGACTCAAAGAGAATTCTACCGGCTAATTCAATTCACACAATACACAAAGTGCCACAATAAAAATTAACAAGAATGCTTAGCAGTTTTCAAGTGTAAGCTCTTTGCGCTGGGCCACTCCGAACAGCTGATTCGATCTAGTTTTAGTTCACGCGCTGCAAATGTAAATAATGGGAGCTGGGTAGAGGTAATTGGCACATTTTGCAGCATTTTGGGCAATGGCCCGAACAATAGATGTGGCACACAGTCTGCCGGAACGGGACGGGACGGGACGGGACGGGACGGCAGCTGCTGCATCATCGATTGGCACAACAAAGAATGCGACGCATGCCACACACTGCACTGCGAAAAAAAGGAAAGGAGCGGAGAGGAACGGAAAGAGAAAAGGAAGAAGGTCGCCCAAGAAAACAAAAAAAACGATGCTGCAGGAGTAGGCGCAATAACTGCACATTGACATTGGAGGAAGCGCTGGCTGACTGCCCCGAACAATGGAAAAGTGAAGAATCTCCCAGAGGACAGCTGTCTGCCACAGGGCAGAACGTCTCCTTCAAGCAGGCATCTTCAGGGTATGTACGTCTACAGGGTATGTGATTTGATTGTGCAACTAAGTGTAGCAACACTAATGGGCTTTCCACCAGCGGCGGCAGGGCAGCGGCAGCATCGCCAGGGGCAGGCATTACGCGCGACTACGCGGTCAATTGGTAATTGGATTAGGGCAGCCGGGCAACCCTTCCGCCCAGCATCCAGCATTCAGTGAGCCATGCAGCGGCAGTGACGATGAGCCGATGTTGACCCTGTGACCCGACGGCGACCCCTTCCTTGGCTGTGGGCTAATCAAGAGGGAGCTGGCCCTTTTGCTGCCTTCGCTGCCAAGGAAAACACGGAAATTAATTAAGAAAACAGAAAGTATCCGTATCTGACAGCAGACGCAGCCGCAGCCACAGCAACAGCCACAGCGTCAGCCTCATCGCAGCTCTCGGCTTCCCCGGCATCCCTGGCTTTCCCGGCTCTAGGCTGTCCATCAAGGATGATCCCCGCATGGCTGCGTACCCGCGGCAGTGTCCCATCTAGTGTCCCGTAGCGGATTTTTATTACATGTAAGTTATTTACGCACACATCAGTGCATCACGTATCAAATGTTCTTTTCCCATTTAAGGAATTTACATATTCCCTGACCTGACCCTTTTACCGACCGAATCGCCAAGGGGCTGGGCTGGCCTGCCCTCCTGGAAGAGCTTGGAGTACATCTTGAGGAATCCATCCATCCATGTATCCCAGCTGCCGATCGTTGTGGGAACGCCAGTCTCCAGCGGAGATCTGGAGCAGCACCGTTGATGATTGGAAATCAAATTGTGGGAAACTTCTGTGTGGGATGATGTCGTACCCACCAGTCATCGGGTATCCTCCAGTCATTTATCATATCTGTTGGCGGCAGGATATGCGACAGGATGTGACTGGGCATAAACGGTGCCCGCAATCATTACCGCCAACCGCATCCTGGTGTCATCTCGATACTGCGCATAAAAAGGAAGGCGAAACAAAGCGCCATTGTCGTGCTCCAAAAAACGTAGCGAATGGGCCACCGGATCGGCCAGAAACAGGAGCAGGATGCGCAGGCAGCTGCTGCAGACCGACCGCAAAGTTCGCGCCCATGTCCCGGCCGCTGTAATCCTTTAACTGTCACCAAAACAAACACAAACAGAGCCCACAGGATACAGGACACAGGACTGACCTCTTCATTATAATATGAATACGGCGACAATCTGTGCCGGGTCATGCCGCACCGCGCCGCGCCGCGCCGCGCTGCGATCAGGGCGGTTCAGCGAATCGGAAAATTATGCAACGCTCTCCGGCTTCTCAGGACACTGGATTAGCGGCAAGGAGTCGCCCGACTGACCCCTGCGCCTGCTTTTATTGCTTTGTGTCGGACAATTGATTCTGTGACATACATTTCGGTGTAAACAGCTTTGGTCAGCTTCCCGGCAATCGACGCGACTCTACCTGGGAAAATAGAGTCCTCAATGCCCGCCCTGCTCACTGGACGGGGCATAAATCACGGGAATCCCAGGGCTGTCCGGCAGAGTGCTCTCTATTTATACGGATCGCTTCAATCAACAATGGCCCAGTGATATATGGTCCATGCATAATGGTAATCTATAATAATTACATCCATCTGTGTGTTATTATAGCTCCAGTGCCCGTCGAGTGTCCTTTCAATGGAATAAATATGGATAGATTAAGGTCGATTAATGGGTGTAATTGTTGCATCATAGCTTGATTTATATACATTTTATTTAGGCTATTTATGGAAAGACTGTTGTTACTCTTGCTTAAGTATAAGGAATGAGAAGTACCTTAAGAATATTCGATATATTATGGATATAAGTCACACGGCATATAGAACACTATATTTATAGATTTATAGATGGAGCTATAGGTGCTATAGTTTTCAAATTATAGTGTGGAGTGTGAGTATTCATAAAGCTATGAACAGACTACAGACTACAACCGCATGGCAATCAAATTGAGAGCTCTATGCGGCCTGGAAAGGTGGTCCCTGTGCTCTACCCAATCTCTACCCAAATGGCTTCAATGGCAATTTGACCCTGCCCTGCTTCCTGTCCGTCCACGCCCACGACCCAGCCTTGACTCTGCCACAGGCACCGGCACAGATACGGGGCCACTGGTGTATACTGACTGGGTGGAAACATGCCACAAATACATTAGAATGCACTCAATATGCAAACCGTGTACAATAATTGAAAACTGTCAGCGTCTGACAAATTTCCCTGTCGTAAAACCTGGCGTGTAACCCTAAATTAACCCCAAAAGTCAAGGGCACGACATATGTGGGTTGGAAGTGAAATTTCCGAAAGTCATAAACTTGCGATCGACATCGACAGTGGCAGGCAGGTCCTTCTAGTGTCCTTCAGGGTTGTGTTAATGTGTGAGGCGCGTGGGTTGCCCTAGGAATCGTGGGCTGTGCTCTGGAGGGTGGCATTCGGGTTGCAATTTGCTGATAAACATCTAGCGGTGTATTTTTGACAGTTTATCATTATGCCGGCGAGCGGACCGATGCCGGACCCCCGCCTGGGGGTTGTTCTGCTCTTTTCCTGGCCATGGGTCAGGTCAGGGGATCATTACAGTGTAAACATTTGTACAATTTGTATTTAATTGATTTTCTGCACTGACAGTGGCGCAAGTTTTCCGTCATTAGCAGATCCAGTTCCGATATGTGGGACCTTAGCATTTGTGTGATTAATGCACGCCCCAGACGACGTCGACGACGACGACGGCGATGACCGGGCTCCTGTGGCCCGGTCCTTCCACCGGTAGGTTCTCACGTCTCTGATCTTAGCATCTCGAGGGTCCTAGGACGCCAGGCTCCTATTGTGTTTCCTTATGGCTGCACACGACGCGCCAAAAAAGCGAAAATTCGCACACTCTCCGGAGATTTATTATTGGGCAAACACGCAAACACGGTGCCGCAGGAGCAGGAGCATAAATCTCAATCTGTCGGGCCAAAGGGGAAGCGGAGAAATGCGAAATGCGAAATGCCAAATCGAAAACGAAATCATTGTGCCGAAATCAAAATTGAAAAAATTTAACCGCAAATTAGGCAATAAACAATGGCTAAAGCGGTCACGGGTTAATACGTTTAGCATCAGGCAGACACGACCTCCGAGGGTCGCAGCCGCCACACAAAAGGGTTAAGGGTGTGTTCCCCTTCTCTCCCGCTCCCTCCACAAACTTTAAACGTGTGCAAAAATATTGTAAATCCATGTCGATGCTCCAGTTATTTGGCTTTTGGGAAAATGTTTCCGATCCAGACTCGACGCATCAAATATTTCACATACATATGTATGCACCTCCTGGTAGAGTGGGGTTTATCCCATAAGGTGGTGCCAATGCACACATGCATACCTCTGTACAAAGAAAAGACACAAAATCGGAGTGCACTACGGAGCATAGCTTCAGCAGTCCCCATAATTGAATCCAATCCATCCATCAGACGTAAAATTTATGTAGATTTTTGCAGTAAACCCCAAGTCACGGCTGCGCAAAGCAAGAACCCTAACCTAAAAGCACACGCGTGCGCGGATGCCGCTGCTGCCACGATTTGCGGCAGAAGTGGCATTTTGTGGGAAATCCCAGCCTGTTGGCTTTTCCGCAGTGAAATAAAGCTGGTTGCATCAGCAGAATGTGCACGTGGACGCGCGCAGTCTCATTTCACCCAGAGATATTTTCGCACAGCTTCTGCTCTCTCTCTCTGGCACTTGTCCAAGCCCACGCACGAGCGAGAGGGCCGATGCACCGACCACAAGCAGCTTCAGCAATGCCATTCGCACACACACAAAGCCCAGCACGGCACACATACGGGGGCATAGGGGCTGGCGGTGTGCGTGTAAGCGCTGGCAATGCTGCGCAATGGAGAAAATAAATGAGCGAACGCAAATGTTTGTTTAATTGGTTTATTTAGCCTCTAAGCGATTGCAAAGTTAAGAGATTCATAGTATTTTGTAAATTGGTTGAAAATATCACAAATTCCTGAAAAGAACATGCGCAAAAAATGAAAAAACTGTGAAAAAAAGCAAATATGAAAACTTACTCGTAGAGGCGTGGGGGGGGGGGGCTACCCGAGTCCTAATTAGAACCATCGACATCCCTCAGTTCGGCGTCGTCAGTCCAATAATGGTGCTCGGTCTGGGTCTGGGCCTCCACCTGGGGCTGGGCCTCCGTCTGGGTCTGCACGATATGCATGTGACATTCGCGTTTGACGAACCACTTCATCATATAAATGCCTGCGGATTGGAGATTCATGACGAATTCGAGGGCCAGCCACCCGGGAATAACTTACCAATCACGTCCAGCAACTGCTGGCCCATTACGAAAAAGTAATTGAAATTAAAGAAATGAAGCATCTTGAACTTGCAACCTTGTGCGAAGACGTCGAGAAATGCGAAAGGCGGAAGTCGGGTGTCTCGCCGAGTTGACAGGTTTGACAGGTCGCTGGCTTCCAACAATCGCAGGCCTGATTTTCGCATATCGATGTTTCTGCAGCTTGCGGCTAATCAATTACGCAACTTGAGTAAAAAGAGAGGGTATTCATTGCTCGATAACTTTACGTTTTATTCAAATTTAATTGCAGCCATGCATTAATTTCTTCCCCGAAGGAACCTGATCGCCTCTGCGCGCCTGTCAAGCGTTTGACAAACTTCCACGGGGTTTCCCGCCCGACGGACTGGCATTGATGTGCGGATCGACATGGGTCCCATGGCCATGCCTCAGTCCCATCCGGGACGGTCCTGGATGGGGAATGTCTGTCACGTCATTTGCATTTTTAACCCCTTTTCTTTGTCTAATGATGCACACAAGTCGCGACGTCTTTGCCGCCTTGCGGTCGCCTCTCCGTCTTCGAAGGGAGGCACACCACACCACACTGGCCGTGTCGATTCCCCCTTGCCAGGGCGTCTGGCAGTTTGCGCCAAAGATTTATGGGCGACTGCGACAGAGACTTTCCCCGGCAAAAGACCATTTCCATTTGGGTTGCTTTATGCGTGGATTGATCCGTTCGCTGCCTCAAAGATTTCTGATATTTTGGTAATTTTCTTCACAATTAAATATGCAAATGCCCTCGCTAAGCGTTTGTTTGCAGGGCGTTTGGTATTGTCAATCGGCCCACAGAGTTCTCTGCCGGAGCAGGACGCATCCATCACCTTTTGCCCAGAGAAAACTGAACAAATCCCACAAATTATGGAACACAAATCTAAGCAAAGATCCTGCATGGAATGGAACGATGATCAGCCAGAGAAGGTGGCGGAACTCAGCTCCACTTGACCACCGCTTGGAGGATCCCCTTCCTTCCACAGAAGGGAGTTTCAGGATAGAGCAAAGGATTAACAGAAACTGCCAAGACATGCATGTGACTTTATTCTAGAGGAAGTTGGGGATCTAGCCTGTAGTAGCCCGTCTTCCCCGTGATACAGGGGTTGCCTGAAAGATGAGATGTGATCTATGGCAAAGGACTATGACTCTATGAGATGCTTGAGATTAGAATTTAGGGGATTTGCTTCAGCCGGAACCTGTGAATTTCGACAACTGAGATTAGCAAGATATGATCTCATTGCATCGCTCTGCTGAGCCTGGCTGCTGTCCGTGATCCCGTTTCAGTTCATCCAAGACGAATGCCGATTTCAATGGTGTGTCGTAAGCCACAGTTTGGACTAATTAAGTGTCGAAAGGATTACCAACGCCTACCCACGGAGATGGTGATTTACGACCTGCTACCTGTATCCTGCATTCTGTAGCTGTGTGTGTCCACCCTCGATCCTCGGATCCTCATTAGCATGAGCCACCTGAGGTGTGGATCTAATGCGTCCGACTTGGGCTCAGCGCGTGTGCCATTCATTGCGGATCACTGAGAGGAAGGACCGCCATTCATGTTCATTCAGAGACCTCGTCCCATTCTGATTTGCTAATCCTTTCCTTTTGTGTTGCATGGAAACTCATTTAGGCTTAGTCCGCCGCCAGGGAGACTGCTTTCGTATTGCAGGCGAATCTTGGCGACAATCTCGGCCAGGGCAAGAATCCTTTCATGCCGTAAGCATTGCCATTGCCGCCGCCTGATCCTGCCGGTACTGCAGCTGCATCGTGGGCGCTGCCAGTGTCGTGCATTTGCATCTGGCTTAAGGAGGGAGCAAATCTTAAGACCTCCTTTGTGTGCTCAGAGCTCCTTTGAATAGAGTCCTGCCACAAACAGCTGTCCGCCGCCTGCCAGTGATTGACACGGCCAGAGACGAATGGTATCCCAATCTTTGTCGTCTGGGCCTGTGTTTGCCTTTGCATAACATCCATTATGTCTTTATATGGGTGTATTCAAATGATGGGCAGCGCAGCCTTCCACTGCGCCTGTCAGCTGTCTGCTGTCCGCTATCCGGTGTCCGGTGCCCGTCGGTCACGTGCCCACGTGTGTCCACTCGGGGGCACCGGCACCTCAATTTTGGGCACATCAAACGCGCGACTAACTCCTGTAATTGGCCCTCTCTCCTCCGCCCCGTCCCACGGCAGCTTATCGTAATTGGATCTTGCTTTTACTCTGGGACTCTGCTCAGCTCTGCTCTGCTCTGCTATTTTGACTATGTCATGTCACATGTTGCAAGGAACCAAGGAACCAAGGAACCAAGCCGGCACAGCGGCAGGGAAAGATACTCACGCGTATCGATGTCCCCAAGGAAAACATCAGTGTCCCTTCGCGACCAAGGGCTCTGCCCCTGATCGAAGGAAAGTCGAGGAGTCGAGAGTCGCAGACCCTTGAGCAATTTATTGCTCAATTTATATTTGCTTAGACTGCCAATAGTTCAATAATTCATAAATGCAAGGAGCCTATCATGTGTCTCCTGGGAATTTGCATAAATGCGATTTGCATAAGGCAGCTGCCGCCTCGTCCCGTCTTGTCAGGGGTAGGGCCCTGCCCGGCCCTGCCCGTCCCAGCCCTGCCGTGTCCTGACTTTGCCTCCTTGGCTCCTTGGCGCGACGCGAAAGGTGTGAGGCCATGTAATAGAAGTCCTGCCACGACTCTACCTGGCTCCCGCTCCGATCTGTTGTTGTTTGTTCCCGTGTTGTTTTGATATGTAAGTTGATATATGATATTTGATTCAGACTTCGGCTTCAACTTCAACTTCAATTATGGCAAATGGCAAGCACAAAAGCTAGTTATGGGCTGGCTCTCGGATATGGTTTCCTGGCTATGATGCTGGCTCTCTGGGTGAGGTTTTCCCTGCCTTTTCCCTTTTTTTTTGTTGTTTTTGCATAGTCACAGCTGCCACCTCTATGCAAAATACGAGTAGGAGTCGCAGTTGCAGTTGCAGTTGCAGTTGGTGTGGGGCAACTTTTGGTCAGGGCCTGTCTGTCGTCCCATATGGCAGGGCCTCGAGGTGCAGTCTAGCGTGACGCACGCTACCTGTACCTGGCTCCGGCTCTGGCTCTGGCTCTCCGCAAGTTGCACTGACAGTCCGACAGGAGGGTTCGACCTTTGCTGAAGTGCGTTTGTAAATTTGTTTGCCAAATCAATTCAAATCTAGAGCGCGCGGAAAATATCCACAGAATGGGCATTGTGTCACCCTCCGATCTCCAGTGACAGGCCAAGGCCACCCTGTCACCCTTTTCTCTCAAGGCGCTTGGGCCATTGCCGATTTCCCGATTTGCCGCTTTCCCGATGCCATATTCTTCATTAGTGCAATGCGGAAAATTGCAAATGATTCAATTCTAATCCGCTCAGAAATTCTTTGGCATCATTTAAATTTCTGCGCACTTCAAGTGAGAGGACGATTCGGTGTCTCACGGGTTGGGTCGGATCGGATCGGATCGGGTCTCGTTCTCCCATCACTCAAGGGTGTAAAGGGTTCCGCGCCGATCCTCAATGATTTTGTCACATCCCGACGCTGTCAAGTGAGCCGCACTTAATGAAGTAGCAAAGGATCGCAGTGCATCCTCCCGTCTGCTCCTTAGATTGCAACAAAGATCGCACACAGTTTCGCACAGCGCTTCGCCCCGGGAGGGAGTCGAGTCTCCAGTCTGCTGGCAATTGTTATAATAATATTTTCAATGACATGACAGTCCTGTCCTGGTCGTGGCCCATAGATTTGCATTAATGATATGCGGCCCGATGATGATGTGCAACATTTGTTAGATTGCTCTCCTTCCCAGGGCAAGGGTTGCCTCGCTCTCGCTCTCGCTCTCGTCTCGTCTCGTTCTCTGGGTGACTGCATCTTGATGGGTTTTTTTATGTTTTTTGTTTAGTTGAAGTCCTCTCCGAGGTGTTGGGTTGCCTCGCCCAAGGAATATTGGCAATTATGCCAGTCGCTTGCTGTCGGTAAGATGATGCATGAGGATATTATGCAGATCGTCCTGGAGAGACGGAGTGTCTCCAGAGACAGAGAGAGAGAGAGAGATCGCGTATAATCCAGATCTAAGAGCCCAGAAGATTGATTATGTCGACGGGGCCTGTGACTAGGCCAGGCGCATCCTCATCCACATCGATGCTCCTTTCTGTGACCTTCTTTCCTTGCCACACTCTTCGGGTTTCCGTGGATCGGAGGATCGAGGATCAGAGATCTGCAAAATGTTGATAGATTGATTATGTGAAGAGGTTCGTCGTGGAATACTTAATTGTTTATATTAAAACGAAGCAGATCTCTTCTCAGCTGCGATCTGCCGCAGTGAATATGTTAATGATCCTTGGCCTCTGATCTTCTTGGATTGCCATGCGAGGCAGCAGCATTTGATAGATGGACCATGTCTGTGGGTCCTCCTAATGATCCTTCCTGAAGGTAGAGCCAAATAAAACATCAAGTTTGATTTGTTTCATGGGTTTGTAATTGTAAATGGGGTTCTACATACCTACTTTCCCATTGCTCGGCTTGATTTTCAGCTGTGACCGCGGTTGAAGGTCCTTCCGTGACCTTTGCACCTGCTGCTGGCCGAGTGTGCTTGATGTGGAGCGGTTTGGCAGCAAACAACATGTTGTCTGCCGCATAATTGGACCGAAAAAAGCAGCCGCAGGACAATGCCCTGGCCAACAGGTGAGTTTTCGGCGCTGTCGAGGGATACGGCTTGTTAGAGCCTCGCCAAAGGTCTTGGGCCAGCGACCGTCTACGTTTTCGTCTCCGCCTAAACTGTTTAGCGCCTTCTACTGGCTAAAGGAGGAGGAGACCCAGGAGGAGTCCCAGGAGGAGTCCCAGGAGGAGTCCCAGGCGTGTGTGTGTTCGTGTGTCTAATGGATATTAGACTGCCTCTGGGGTGGAGTACCCGCAGAACGTACACACATACATATGTGGCAGCAGAAACATAACTGTTAAATGTCCTTTGTCCTAGCACTTCTGCGTGTGTATTCTGTTTTTGCACATGTTGACGCGACAGCGACTGACTCCGACTTCCTGACAGGACATGCAGGAACGAGCCAAATGCCTGCCTGCCTGCCGCCCGCCCTCACGTGGCACCGCACTCCCCGGCCAGTCCATTGTCTGGGCTGTTTTCGCAACTGTTTCGATCGATTGCCGCGCGATAAGCCCGGCACTGGGACGGCGAACGGCGAACGGCTAACGGGGGACGGGGCACGCGTTGCAAGGCCAGCGGACACTGAAGCGGGCAACAAAGTGCGGGTCGAAAGGTGCGTCAGCGTCAATCGACGCCGGTAGCCGATCGAGTGGCTACATCCACTGCATTCACACACCGATCCCGATCCGATGCCGAGTCGACTTTTGTCACTGTCCAAAAATAAGCGGGTGCCTCGACAGCCAGCCATATGTGTGTGTGCCTGTGTGTGTGTCGCTTTTCCATTTTCGCCACTCGAGAAACCGTTTAAATCGCAATTAGAGTTTTGAAGTGTGCCCGCTTTTAATGGGCGATTTTTCACAATTTTCCCCATTTTCAGCGAACAAAAGTGTGCCCTCAAATGGGTTTCGAATTGAGAGGAGAGCCGCCGATCGACCGATTTCCGATTTCTGGCACTCCATTAACTTGTCCACAATTGCAAAATGACACTCATGCAGACAACAATTCAATTAAATTTTAGATAGAACTGGAAAGAGGGCCATCTGGTCCACTGTTCCACTGCGTGGCCAGCCCTGGGAGCAGCTTACCGATTTTTTTATTTGCATATTGCCGCTGGTTCTTTTCGGAACTGCCAGATCTAGGCGAATGCCGTGTAGAGCGGAAGAGAATGAACACCAAAAGGAGTGCAAAAGCACACTTTTCGGAAAGCGGAGGCAGAATGAGATAGAAATACATAGGAAGAAGTATTGAAAGTTGCAGAGACAGTATGGACCGAATAAAGCAGTGCAGAATCATCGATTGAACCAGAAGAACCAGCGAACATGGGATAAATCAAAAGCTAATGAACAGAAAGAGAAGTACGACGCTTAGAGTGCAGGAGAATCAATTGAACAGTATTAAGCAAAAGCAAAACAGAGGAATACTAGTTCTTTTTGGGGTTCGGCGGATGTCTAAGGGGACTTTAGATGTAAAACCCACGAGGCAACAGTTTTCAAGTATTTCTAACCTGAAAAGCTGAAGAGAAATGAATTTTAGTGACCACCTTCCTTGGGGTACTTCTAGGAAGCGCGTGCATGGCTTTATCTTACTGGACGATCGGTTATGGAACTGTGACTCTTCTAACTCTCGGCCTCATTACGCGGCAACCATCCAGAACAGGAGGATGGCAGTCGGTTGAAAAAGGTACGTACTCGTACTGTGCAGACATTCTTCCGACATTGCGTAAGTATCCGTTTCACTTTCAATCAAAACGAAATTAAAGAAATGCATGTTAAATGACACGAGAAGTCCAGAACGGGAATCCATAGAAACGGGAGCGGGAATGGGAAAGGGCATCATTAGCCGGACGCGCCAGAAGCCAGAACCAGATAATAATGGGCAACAACCCATAAAAAGAAACGCCAGCAAGCGACAACAATGACAACTACAACGACGACGACAACACACGGCGACGGGGTACGAGGCGGATGTTAACCTCTCGGCGACTTGGCCAGGGCCAGGGCCAGGGCCTGGAGAAAGTTCATATAGATAAGGACAAGGGTATGACAGGACCGGACCTGTGCTTTGTTGCGCCGTGATTTCGGGTGGGCTGGTCGGCCTGCTTGACCGCCGCTGCCCAACAGAAGAAAGCCCCGGCCACCCTGTCGATCCTGCCCATTCATATCACATAATAAAGTATTTTACTTTGTTTTTCCTGTCATATCACACAAAGAGACGGACATGTGTCGGGTGTGCTGGCTGTGCTGGCTGTGCCCTGCTGAACTCGTCCGAGCATGCATTTTCTTATAGTCGATGCTACATGCTACTCGAACGAGCAATGTACTTGCGGACCAATGAAAGTTTCACGCTCTACTGATCATTGCCATGGGAAGAAGGTTGTGTCCGTCTGGCTTGGGGTCTGGGAAAAGTGTTAACCCATTTCTAGCCCATGAGAATTTGCATAGATCTGGGGTTGGACAAAATGTTATGACAGCTCATTTAACGCCCAAGTCTCGAGTGGCATTGACCATCGATACAGCGACAATCCTTCGGCCAAAGTCTTGGACAACCAATTATCATAATTGACGGTTCGCTCTTCCCCGAACAGCTGGTGGGCATTGTCTTCTGGTGCTCGTAGTTCTAGTGCTCTGCGGGTGATCAATCGGTCTTTGAGGGGGTTCGCTAGTTCCAGTTTTGGTTAGTAATCCTCCTAGTCGTTCGAGGCCTGTAGTCTTGTGCCTAGATTTAAGACTTTTCGTCACTAAAGGGGAACTCATTCTAGTGGAAAGTTCTGGTTCTGCGACTACGTATTCCCATGAATTATCTCTAGGAATAGAGATTCATGTGAGACCCTCTGGGCGGGATTGCTTATGGTGATCCTTTACGGATCTGCTTTCTCCTTGATTGTCTCTCGTTTCCCAGTAATCATTATGGACTTAAGACCCCATATATGTAGTACCTTTCCCTTAACCCGACTCGACCACAAAGGTTTAGTGACAAATGCGGCCCACCCCTTGCCCTCATTATAGCCAGAAATTCCCGAACCGAACCGAACCGAACCATTCCTTGGACCCACATGATGACTATTGCTAGTGCCAGAGTGGGGATCGTGATCGTGATCGTGCTCGTCAGCCCAGATGGGCCATGTCTCGCTATCAGAGCATTAAAACGCTCATTAAACCAGGAGCTGTCGCTGTGGCTGTGAGAAGCACTTGGACCTGGCCTCTGCCCGGCTCTGGCACTCTTCCGTGCACTTTCCGCAGAACTCGTGCGCCACGCTCCGGTGCCCCTGCCCCCCTCTAGTCGAGCGAGGTGTTTTGCATAAACTGCTGGCTCCTTTGTGGTTTCTTCATCGAAATTATGGCACCCCAGACCCAGACCCAGACCCAGAGCCGGCCATGTGGGAACCTTTCTTCCTTCATTCCGTTCGTCAGAAAACGCTGCGCTTGCATTAAAAATGATTTATTCCTTACAATGATTATACGACAAAAAAAGTGTGTACGGCTATAAAAAAAAGTTATAAACAAAATTCGAGTGTCCCAGAGAAGAGCCTCAGCTGGCCTCAGACATCGAGAAGCTGAGGCGTCTCTTGGTGGCGTCCCTGACCTGCGCCTGTGCCTGCATCCACATGGCATCCAGCTGGCACGAGGCTTCCAGCTCCTCGCCGCCCAGTCCCAATCCCAATCCCATTGCCAGCATGGGAATCGGATGCTCCTCGTCCAGCTCGCAGTCGCTGGTCGAGTTGTGGCCGCTGTCGGGGCTGATGTGGCGGATCTTCTGGGCGGAGCGGGCGGCCGCCAGCAGCTTCTGGGCCGACTGCCGTACGCTGGAGGAGATTCTTGTCGCGATCTTCCGTTTGCGCCGCACCACGCGCTGCCTCCGCAGCTGCAGTGATCGCCTCTTCCCCTGGGACTGGGACTGCGACTGCGACTGTCCATCGACGGTAGCCGGCTGGGGGGAGCGCACCTCCCGCTCCTCGTAGCCACTCGCGTGGGGTGACCTCCAGTACTCGCAGAGGTCGCTGGCCGGGTCGAAGGCGGGCCGGTAGGTGGGCGAGTGGGTGGCGGCAGCGGCGGCGGCGGCGGCGGAGGAGGTGGTGCTGCTCAGGGGGTGGTGTCTGTGTCGCTGGCGCAGACGCTGACGCGGCTGCCTGGGGGCCGGCGCCTTGCGGGTGCTCTCCAGAATGGCGTCGATCATCCGCTCCAGGGTCACGTCTCCCATCTGGCTGGAGCTGAGCGTGGTCTGGCCGCTCTTCGTGGCAGGGGCCTGGGGCACGGGCATGGGCAGGGGAAGGGGAAGGGGAAGGGGCAGGGGCTTCTGCTCCAGGTAGCGGGGCTTCTCGAAGTAGCTGTCGGGGATGCCCATGCCGCGGAGTGCGAGCAGCGGACCCGGGATTATGGCCGCGCTCGGGGAGTACTCCGCCTCGAAGGTCGGCAGCGTGGAGGCGTAGGCGGGTGGGCGGAGTGTGGGCGTGGGCGTGGGCGTGGGCGTAGTCAGGGGCGAGGACATGATATTGCTGAGGTCCTTGAGCAGCGGGGTCCGTGGGTGCACGGGCAGGGAGCTGGCTGGCAGTGGCGTCGAGGTCAGCTGGTTCTCCTTCCCCTGTCCGTGGGCGAGGGCCAGGCAGAGGGACTTGCGCTTGAGCTTTCCCCGCAGGGCATGGAACTCGCTGTAGCTGCTTGCCCCTGATCCAGCTCCAGCTCCAAGTCCAGGTCCAGCTTCTGCTGCAGACCCAGCTCCCCTGCGCATTGGCGTGGCTGTGGTCTCCTCCATGTACGAGGGTCGGGGCTGGTTGACGGCCCACTTGAGCATCTTGTTCTCTGGCGTGGTCTCTGGCGTGGTCTCTGGCGGTGTGGGTGAGGTTGCGGGTGCTGCAAGTGTGGGAGAGGGGGAGAGAAGTGCGGTTTAGTCTCGTGCTCGAGCTGTATCTAGATACTTATTTGTATCTGTGTGCGGTTCTGTTCTGTTTGTTCTGTCTGGAATCCAGAGCTGGTCGGCTTTTGCCGCAAAAAGTTGCCGGGTGAGTTGTTCGGGAATTTTGGCGCGCTTTCTGGTGGCCTTTTCGATTGCCAAATCAGCGAAGCGGCAAAAATGAAATCAAGAAAACAAAAAGAGAGAATTCCAGGCAATCAGCCTCCCCCCGGGCAGTCGCCGCCCCGTACCCCGTTTGCATTCGGACACGAACTGGACACGGACCTCCAGTGGAATACTAATCGAATATCCCTAATTGCAAGTCCATGCTTCGCTGGCCGCGCAGAAAATGCCTCTTAATTTCACTTCAATTTACCTCTTCACAGATTTCTGTCCACTTCAAAAAAAAGCACAGATTGCACGGATTCAATGGGTGTATTTTTTCTCTATTTGCAGATGGATATTCCAGGGCCCGATCTGGGGTTCCTTCGGACGCGGCGCGAGTGAGTGTACGAGTGGTGCGCCTGCGCGCCGCGAAGTTCGTTTCGAGAGTGACTCTGTTCGGCTCTGCTCGGGTACGTCCACGACTTGGCCAACGGCGCTGAGAGCGGCAGAGACCAGAGAGAGCGCGCAGAGGGAGAGCGAGAACGTCGAGAGAGCAGAGAGCAGAGAGCAGAGAACGTGTTGCATTTTCTGAGAGCGGGAGAGCAGGAGAGCGGTTGAGCGGGTGAGCCGGACGTTGCACTGCAACAGTTTCGAGCTCTCTTCAAATCGGAAACGTGGGTGGAATGTCGCCTTGAACGGCCATGGCTGGCAAGTTATGGAATGCAGTCGATGTATTACTTCCTTAGACCATTCCAGGCAGGAGTCGGTAAGATTTATCGGTTATGTGTGTAGCTCCAGGGGAAAGTTATTTAGGACTTCCTTCAGAGCCATTATCAGTCGATTTGGTCTATATGTATTGAAAATCGTATCTGTTATGTTTACTTTTTTGAAAATCCATCCAAAGTAGCCTGGAACCTTATCTAGGTCTATATTTTTCCAGGTTTCAGTATGCATAAGAGGTAGAACCTGCAAAACTCAATCACTATATCATGGCTGACATGGGAAAAAGAGTTTGCTTCCTAGTTCCGAAGAGTTTAATTATTGATTTGTAGATTGAAATAAGATGATATATGCAGACTTAAGCTTCAAAAGAAAATATGGGTCGAACAGGAACCCTTTATTGTATTTCAATCAATCAATCAATATCTAAAAGATGTGGCTTGTGTATAGATCTATGGACATCTTTGGTGTAATCTATAAAGAAAGCGGTAGATAATGCAAAGTTATTAGACGACTAGTTTAGCCCCAAGCCTTCCCATCTGATATACACATACATATATATGCAAAGCCCAGCCAAATCTGATCAAAATCGGCTGACTATATCATATAGCTGTCATTGGAATCAGGAGGTTTGCAAGAGTTCTCGTAAAGGAACTGCCAGAACCTTCTCTCTGGTCTTCCGAATCCAATTCTATATGGTTCGTATCCCACAATCGTGTTCCAACAGCTGTGCGAATCCTGATTGAAAGAGAGAGGGAGAGGGAGAGAGAGAGAGATGGACATATCGCTGCTCCTCTGTCGAGGGGCCAGCTGTTCTCTTCGCTGCTCGGCTCGGCGCTGCTTACGCCACAAAACATAATTTTCAATTACCTTTCTCTCAGCGTGTGGCTCCTTTCACCTCTGCTCTCCTCCATCTCCATCTCCCTTTCCCTCTCTAGCTGCTTGTCCTTCCCCTGTCCCTTGGTCTCTGTTTTCCCATTTTCGCCAAGAAAAGGACAACTCGCACACATAGCACTACAGTGGGAACCGGGGGATTGTACAATTTGGCCCATTGTTTATGGGACAAGCAGAGGAGTCGTCGTCGTCGTCGTCGTCGTCGGCGTCGGCGTCAGCGTCGCTGCAGGAAAATGTTGTGGAAAATTGTGCAATTGTTTTGCAATTTATTGGTTGAAAAGGGGCTCCGTGGTTCAGGAGAGTCGCTTCCATAGCCTCTTTCACTGTCCCTCCCCCCCGTATTTCTCTCTCTCGTTGTCCATCTTCTTGCGCTTTGTTCTTCCATCTCCTTCCGCCTTCTGTATTGCCATCCTCTTCCGCTTTCTCTGCCTATCTCCTTTCTCCTTTAAGCGCAAATTTATGATGACTCTGATACCCTCTGGATGGGCAGAAAAGGAAGCATCTCTGGGAGCATAAATAGTACCTACATATATACATATATATGTATATATTTCTGATCCTACAGATCCTTCTGTTATCGCTATATCAGATAGAAAAAAACACACAAAGATATCCCAAAAATTTCAATTAGGAAAACTCTTTCGGCTCTGCAGAAATTGAACAAAAAATATCACATACCATCAATCGATCAAATTGCAAGGGTATCCAAAGCTTCGATACCGGGTACTTGCCATTGAGCGGAGAATCTCAGCAGAGAGCCAGAGAGAGAGAGAAAGATAGAGAAAAAACAGAGATAGCCAAAACGAGAGACACGAGACACTCATAAAGAAGAGGACCAGAAACCATCCCATAGAAAAGGACAGCTGAGTCTCTCGAGATCCGTCAATTATCCCCGTTTTTGGAACCTATCTACTATCTGTTTTTTGTTGTTGTTTTGTTTTGCCTAATTTATTTGGCACTTTGTGCGAAATGGTATTCGTTTTGTATTCCCTTTCAATGGCAATCGGATCACTTGCCAATGTCCGGCGGTTCGGATCGGGTCAGGTCCTGGCCTAGATCTCACGATCAGTTCCGGACCACCGAATGGGTTCCAATTTATGGCCTATGGCACCTGTACGAACAATTGGATGAGGACCTCCAAGTGATATATGTAAGTCTATTAGGCCGTGGGGGACCACCCTCAGTTGGTTCCCAGGAGAATAATCTCAAGAGAATCTCTCTTCATTCAGAATTGAAATTTAAAAGCTGAAATACACAAGGGAATTTGGACAAAGTATAACTTAGAAATCTGTATACGTCTCTCATAGCATATCCCCCGATCTAGTAAGGCGAGAAGTGGTGCCGAATACATCTCAAACTATCCTTAGTCTTAATAGATTATTGAGAGTGAAGAAATAGATTCATTTTTACTTTTAATTGATGCAAGTTTCTGGATTAGGTATATTTCATTAAGGGTTTCTTTGTTGTATACCTTGCCCCTTCTAGAATCTAGATTGTAGTTTAATTTGACTCCTTTTTAAGTTTTACACCATCTTAAACATTTATTCTAGTAATATACCATCTATTTCCATATCTTTAGGCATACAAAAACATGCTTAATTCACTTTCCAGCCAGCTGTTCTGGGCCCTGGAATATGCCTCTATGTATGATTTCTGGGTCGTTCTCACAGTCCTAATTTAAATAATAAATCTCAAACCTTCGTTTCGCAAATTTGACACTCGAGAGGCTTTGCAGGACCTCAATTTGTTCTTCCATTCACAAAAAAAACAAAAAACAAAACCAGAAACGGTTCAGCTGCCCAGAAATGTCGAGTGACCAACGATAAATCTACGGAAAAAGCGAAGAAAATGGAAATAAATCAATAATATTGCAGTGGAGGATGGCCAGCTGCGTTTTCCTTTGGCTTATGCCCTCCTTCGGAATCTTACCAATAATCCGTCTATCTGTCTTGCAGTTGCATCGAATCAAAGGCAATTTTACGCATTGGTCACTGGCCCAGGCTCGGGCTGAGGCCCAGGTCCTGAGACCAGGAAGAACCAGGAGAACAAGGAAGATAAATTAGGGCAGAGCCCGATCCCCGTTACCCGAGCCCCGACCCAGGGACAGAGGGACAGAGGAGGGTAGGAGGAGGAAGGGCAGACAGTGCGTCGCGATCCACTAATAAATTGCCCAACAATTGTGCAATTTTTCATAGACGTAGAATCCGCAAGGCGGCAGCGACAGAGGCAGCGGCAGGGGCAGCGGCAGGGGCGACCCTGACGCTAAGACTTCACGCTCGGATTTGCTACCGTTTTCGATTTTTCGCTGTCCTTTTCCAATCACTATTATTTTTTCTTAGAGGCTCTGCCTCTCAGAGTGGGATTGGCTGTCGCTTTCCCAGTCGCCCACCCCCCTCCACAAGGGCATACACTGGAAGGACGTGCGGCGGCAAGGACATCAGATAAAGTGGAAAGTAGGTAAGGGACAGAAGAAAACTAATCTTGAATCACACGCCGCACTGATAGCGCCAGGATCGGGAATCGGGAATCGGGGATCGGGGACCCACAATCCACAATCCCTGGCCGGACAGCTGTTCGGGGATTAGCACACAGCTCCTTCTGCTCCTATCTGGACTCGCACGCAAAATTATTAAAACACGGCCCTGAATTATGGGCCATAATTCAGAATTTGAACGGGACCCCCGTCCGCCGCTTAGCCGGCAAGCTATTTGTACTGCTGCCTTTCGGGCATATCCGACATTTCCCGACTCCCGGCGTCTTATTTGATAAGGCAGCCAAAAGGGAGAGAGGGAGGGAGAGGGGCAGGGAGAAAGCCGAGACCAGATGCAGCCACAGGATCCTGTGACTGTAGGCGCTCGCCTTTCATAATTTACTTTGATTGATTTGGGTAGCCCGATGCCCGATGGCCGATGCCCGATGCCCGATCCGATGTGAAGTGCTGGGATTTATTGAACTATTGAATGTGCCACTCAGGAGCCCCAGGCGGAGAGATGAAATCCAAGGATGTAATCGAAACTTAAGGAATGCGGATCTTAAGGACACGGCAAAGTTTCGATGGAGGGACATACGTGCATATGAAATGATTGGACAGAATGTTATATAAGAGCTTTTTCGTTTAAGGAAATTTAAGGAAGAAATCATGAAACGCATGATATGCTACTAAATGGATTGGAAACCCCCTTGGCTGGCTTCCAATATTACTAAGGTGAGTATTTTGTATCTGTTTTAAAGCCTTCTGTTTCGAGCCTTCAAGGCTCGAGGCTCAAGGCTCAAAGGAGGGGATACCATATACTTTCTTAACGGAATAACCCCCTATATTGGGTGATTATCATCACAATGTCTCCTTAAGCGAATGTCTTTAATTTCAGATGAGTCAGACCTAGGGATAGAACCCCTGTATGTCTCCAAAGAGATTTGAGCCAATTTTTCACAAAATACTGTCATCTAATGATTGCTTCAGAAAACGATCAATATTCGGAAAATGTATATCAATTACCACTCAATATCCAAATGGCAAGCGAGAACCCCGTGAGAGCCATTAATATGCTGATGGGCTATTTGTCAGGGCATATTCGATTGAAATCCGAACTTAAATTTCAATATTCAAAACGGTGCAAAGGGGTTTCCAAGGGAATGCGCCAGAGAGTGCACAGGAATGCAGAATCTCACATCCAAAGGTAGAGCAGAGAGCGAGAGAGAGCCAAAGGTGGTGGCGGGGAGAGTCGTTGGCCGAGGCAAGCCGATGTCTGCCGAAGCAGGGAGAGCACAGGGAGAGCTGTTGCCGAAGCAGGGACAGTCGCTGCCGAAGCAGGGAGAGCCGCTGCCGAAGCCGATCCGAGGCGACCACGACATGCGGCGTGCAGTGGCAGAATCAGTCACATTTGCACCTCTTGCACCTTCGGGACGTACTCGTTACCCGTCTCCAGCGCGATCTGCCCAAAATTCTAGATTTTTTGGAAAATTCTGTTGTTTTTTTTTCTCGCAAAGGCAAAAGCAAACGAAAGTTTTTTGAATTTTTTTTTGACTGTGAAAAACCAAGGAAATTCCTGCAACTTTGGATATCAGCAGAAACGGCAGAAAAAAGGTAAAGATAAAGTGAAGTGAAAGAGAAATCGAGTGGAAATACGAGTGCTCGTACTCGTACTCGTGCTCGTGCTCGGACTCGTACTCCCATTTCCGGAAGAACATTATAGATGCATTAAAGCAGGGGAGTGGTGGAGTGGCGGAGTGGTGGGCCTCTGGTCTGTGAGAAAATTAATTAAAAGCACCCCATAAAAATCGCATAAAAATTCATAAATTCGCGCGCGTGCGATTGCGATTTGGGGGTACGGAATCGGGGTTATTTTGTTGTTGTTTTTTGGGCTATTTGTGGGCTACCCGGGCCAAGTGCCCGAGTGGCAGATAAGTGCTCTTCAGACCAAAACGAGAGAGCGGCTGCAAAAAGCGCAAAATGCTAGCACGCATCGGAGTCCTCCACCTCCTCCTCCTCCTTCCATTTCTGCTCTCTCCGATCTCCGCATCTCCGAGCAGGGTCTTGAGTGGCCCGAGATGGGCAGAGTGTGGCAGTGCCACCATTTTGGCCGCTCCTACCACCCAAAACACGAGTCGCAGCTGGAAGTAGCTGTTGCTGTTGCCGTTGCCGTTTCCGTTGCCCTAGCCAGAGCCCAGAGCCTGAACCAGAACCTAGTTGCAAGCTTTTGCGCGCTTTTCCATTGTTTCCACGGTTCTCATTGTTGGCAGGGGCAGGAATCAGGGGCAGCCGGCTGCCGGCAGCGAAGTAGTGCGAAATCCTTGCAGAAACCATGCCGAAACCCCACCGAAACCCGTTCCCGTTCCCTGCGACACGTTAGTCGGGTTTGCCCGTCTCACATGTCCCTCTCGTTCGGGTTTCGCACACTCTGCCACACTCTAAATCGAATGCGAAGAACCCCAGCAGACAATTGCTAACTAGCCCGATCTTCCTTTGCTACTTTCAGATCCTGACACGCACAACCCGATCCACAACTTATATCCAGAGATATCGCAGCTGTCAAGATGCTCAAGTGGGCTGTGAACCAGCCCCGACCCTCGTACCTGGCCAAGGAGCTGCCAGAGGGAGCTGCCACCAACCCCAAGACATCAGCAGCAGCAACAGGAGCAACAGGAGCAGCAGGATCAGGGGCAAGCAGCTACAGCGAGTTCCATGCCCTGCGGGGAAAGCTCAAGCGCAAGTCCCTCTGCCTAGCCCTCGCCCACGGACAGGGGAAGGAGAACCAGCTGACCTCGACGCCACTGCCAGCCAGCTCCCTGCCCGTGCACCCACGGACCCCGCTGCTCAAGGACCTCAGCAATATCATGTCCTCGCCCCTGACTACGCCCACGCCCACGCCCACGCCCACACTCCGCCCACCCGCCTACGCCTCCACGCTGCCGACCTTCGAGGCGGAGTACTCCCCGAGCGCGGCCATCATCCCGGGTCCGCTGCTCGCACTCCGCGGCATGGGCATCCCCGACAGCTACTTCGAGAAGCCCCGCTACCTGGAGCAGAAGCCCCTGCCCCTTCCCCTTCCCCTGTCCGTGCCCGTGCCCCAGGCCCCTGCCACGAAGAGCGGCCAGACCACGCTCAGCTCCAGCCAGATGGGAGACGTGACCCTGGAGCGGATGATCGACGCCATTCTGGAGAGCACCCGCAAGGCGCCGGCCCCCAGGCAGCCGCGTCAGCGTCTGCGCCAGCGACACAGACACCACCCCCTGAGCAGCTCCACCTCCTCCGCCGCCGCCGCTGCCGCCACCCACTCGCCCACCTACCGGCCCGCCTTCGACCCGGCCAGCGACCTCTGCGAGTACTGGAGGTCACCCCACGCGAGTGGCTACGAGGAGCGGGAGGTGCGCTCCCCCCAGCCGGCTACCGTCGATGGACAGTCGCAGTCGCAGTCCCAGTCCCAGGGGAAGAGGCGATCACTGCAGCTGCGGAGGCAGCGCGTGGTGCGGCGCAAACGGAAGATCGCGACAAGAATCTCCTCCAGCGTACGGCAGTCGGCCCAGAAGCTGCTGGCGGCCGCCCGCTCCGCCCAGAAGATCCGCCACATCAGCCCCGACAGCGGCCACAACTCGACCAGCGACTGCGACTTCGAGGAGGAAGTGGACTCGCTGTCATCGCTGGGCGCCTGTGGCGGCCTGGGCCTGGGCATGGGTCTGGAGGCAGCCACCAAGCGGCGTCTGAGCTTCTCCTTCCAGGAAGATCTGTTCGTGGAGAAGTGAGGGAGGGCGACTCGGAGGAGACTCATCTTTGGCTGTCGACAGATAACGTTTGTTCCACTTTTTCCCACTTTTTTCGTTACACTTTGGTTGGAGGAGTATTTTTGTTTAAACATTAGAAAGAATGTGGCTAAAAGCGCAGACTTGCCTTGGTATCCATAACCATATATGTATATCCCCAGAAAATAATGATATGTTGAAACAGATTTTATAATTGATTAAGATTTTTTTTGGAAATAAAACTTTTTAGGGTAATAATCATCGGAAATAATATGGTATTTCTACTGGGGAGTGTGGAAAGGGTACAAAGAAAGAACCACCCCGAAGGAGGAGTCCTATGTTGAGTTGAAGATCCATAGAACATCTAAATGCAAATCGAGTTCTTTATGGCCTCCAAGAGGCTGAAGATACAATATTAAGTTCAGAACGAGGCTGTTATCTTCCAGATATTCCCTATAGATCCCCTATGGATATATTAGCCAAGTCTTATAGTGTCACTGTCCTTGCCACATATCGACATCAAATTGCTCTCCTTCAATCAAACAAATCTCCAATGAGAAGTGGCAGATATACTTCCCTGAAGGCTCTATCCAGTGGGTTCCTTAGAGCATCTCGCACAAAGGAACTTCCCTGCTAGGACTACATGGCACTCGACTATCCGCAGAGTGCAGTTCTCACGGCAGTCGGAGTCAGAGCCGTTCCGCCCCTGAGTTCGTGAGGACGCGGATCGGACATTGCCGATTAGTCGAACGCTGCAGGACGGTAAGGCACACAGACATCGTGTGGGTTGGGAGAGACCCACCCCCCGCGCACTGGGCGACTGGCTGAGTGATACGGCATATCCTGTGTGTCCTTCGACACGGCACTTATCACGCACCTGTGCACCACCACGAAATGGCCAGGCAGCGGACTACAAAACGGTTTGGCATTACCATAAATTTGCATAGAATATACAAAAATTCGGTTTCGCTGCTGGTTTTCCGTTTTTCCGTTTTTGTTTTGTGGCCAGGACGGGATTCGGCAAGGTCCTTGTTAGCTGTACTCGAGAGAGTACGATCCAACACATAGACCGTGACCAAGTTATGCAAGCTCTGGAGGAGGCATATGGAAAGTTGTTCGCTCTGATCCTGGCAGGGTCCAGCAGCTGCCGCCGAGGACTGGCTGTTGGCGTGGGCTGTTGCTCCCCGAGGCTCTGTTGCGTTTTTAAATGTCTATTAAATGCCTTTAAGTAAATGCCTCTGAATGGTACGGCAACGGCAACGGGGCATTGTCTGCATCGGATCGTATCCCATCCATTGTTGCACGGCTTCTGTTCGCTCAATTGAGCCGGTCCCGCTCCCGCTCCCGCTCCTCCGCCCGGCCATGCCAGCTGCCCAGTAGGTGGATGTGGATGTGAGGCTAAGGATCTGAGGATCGCTCTGTTCTGCTCTGATTTGAGGCTCTTCGGTCCTTCGGCTGTGCTAAATGTCACATAAGAGCCCGAACGTTGCGTCGGCGGTAGCCGGAACACCTTTCCGAAAATTGCGCCAAAAGGGACTGCAAGAAGTCAATGGAAGAATGGGAATAATGGGAATGAAGAATGAGGCAGCGAGGCAGCGAGGAAAAGGAAACAAAATCGCATCGTGGCATGCGTCCTGCGAGGGCGGGGGCAGTGCCAGTGCCAGTGCCAGCCCTCGGGGACAGCTGTCGTCGTCTCCTGTGGCACGTGATACACTCATTCCGCCAACGCATCGAGGATCGTCTTGAGTATTTGGCATAGGAGTGGGAGTCGCTGCATAGTGGCACGAGGAGTTGTGTGCTTCAAGTGCCTCTTGCCACATGTTGCCGCTTCAAATTGGGGCAATTTTCGGCCTAACAGGGTTAAGTGCCGGAAATTACCCCGACAAAAAGGATGTACATACTCGGTTAAGAGAAATTCGCGCAAAATATTTGCCAGTCTTTATGTACAAGAATTTCCTCCAGTCTGAAACTATATCATATATCCGCCAAAAGAAGGACAAGATAGCGACTAACGATCGTTAGATCTGCAAAGATCTGCATAGAAACGACCGATTGATCGGCAGAAGATAGTTAAGGAAATCTAAAGAGCAATCTATATCCCATCCTTTCTCTCTGTTTTAACAGGATAGGATAACAGCTGCCCTCAAATAGAGAGGAATGGGAGGAAGAACTAGTCTGATAACGATCATTAGCGGAGCTGTGAAAGATAGAGTTCAAGTCTTGCCGAAAGATGCCTTCCTTCCTTCCGAGCAACTCAATCAACGTCAGAGGGGAGCGGGAATGAATCGCAACTGTCAATAAATGGAGCACTGGCGAGGGGACAGTAGTTCCCTAATCCCATCTGACATGAGCAATAAGTAATAAGTGGCAGAATGGGAACAGTAGCCCCCGAGACCAGAGCCCAAAAGCAGAGCAGATCAGGGGAGGATCAGAGCAAGATCGGTGGAAAGTAGTCGCTTTTTTGCCAACTAAAACTATTTGTATTTGTCAGAAGGCTCTGATTTCACGGCAGCTCAAGGCACGGCTCAAGGAAGACTGTCGCGAGGGCAGGACCACGTCTGATCCTCGACGATTAATCAATGTGACGTGTGTGTGTGTGCACTCTCCCTCTCCGGCTCTGGGACATCTTGTGTTTGGTTTTTCGCGCCAAAGAAATGTCCTCGCTCTTGTCCTGTGCGTCCCTGCTCTATCCGTTTCGGTGACAGCAATTTAGTTTTATTTCTCATTTCAATTTAGCTTTAAACTTGAATGTTGGATATCCCCCACGTTGGGTCTCTCTCCGACTCTCGGCTTGGGGTGGTGCCTCGGTTCGGTTCTGTCTGTGTCCTGCGCCATCGCTTGTGTGAAAGGGTTGTCGTCGGGTCAGAGGAGCCGGCCAGGGGTAGACCGCAAGATCAAACAATCCAATCGATTTGCATAGCCCGTAAAGTCGAAAGGGTTGTCTCTGGTCCTTGTTCCTTGCTGCTGATCCCGATCAAGATTCGGCTACAGATTCCGTTTGAGATTCCGATTGCGTATGTAAATGTTGTTTGCACGACAAACTTTATCTCGAGACAATGCCAAATGCAAACTAATAGATACATTTATAGCGATTTGGGCGGGATTAGAAAGGGTCTCTCTCCGACCGGGGTAATTAAACATCTTTACGGTCAGCCAAAAGGGCCAAAGGTGGAGGATGCTGCCGCACGCAGATTGCTTTCTTTTTTCTGTTGTGTACCCAAGGCAATGGAAAGGAGTGAGAGTACTCCTGAGAGCCATGAAAGGAGTGAGTCGAGTCGAGTCGAGTCGAGGACCCGATCTTGAGCACTTAAGCCAATTTGAAGTGAACTTGTTGTTTGTTTTGTCTGTTGTCTTGTGGCTTAGATGTGGTCATGGACTTTCGCTCATCGCATTTGATCCCCTTTTGACCATAGATCTATTTATTCCACATTTGCATGTTCAATCCTGTGACGACTTACGGGTATAGCTTCCATGGCAGCAGTACCCTAAGACCTTCAGTCCTTCAGAGCTTTTAACTTTAATTTAAATATGCAATATAATTATTTACTATATAAACTGGACCCATAAGACCCAAACCAATGCCGAATGCTACCCATACTCGTACACATTTCGTTATCAAAACACAATTGCTTGAAATATTTCTAATGAATGTCCTCCCCTCCGTTTCTCCGTCCATTCCATTACGGCATTTATGGCTCCGCAGATAATCCTTGTCTGAGGTCTGGGGTCTGGGGTACACGCAATGTTTGCCCACAAAGATGGATCGTAAAAACGTGTAAAAAGTTTCGAAATATACGAGTGTGTACTTGTGTATGCCTAATGAATTGTTTCTCCCTTTAATTTGGGTCGTAAAACCCCAAAAAATTCGTGGGGTGGGGCTGCAATCGATATATGTACGTCCGTACGTAAAAGTGCAGTAAAAGTGAAAGAACAAAGGCTGGGAGATGCGAGAACTCTTCATGGATTTGGTGTTTTTACGAGCGGGATGGAAATTTTTATGGATGGATCTTCACTTCATCCATCCACACATAAATCGCAAGAGACTTTATCAAATTGTCATTAAAATCGGGAAAACCTTCGGGGCGTGTGGCAATGAGAGAAAGGCAGGAAGGAGGGACTACAATTTTGATTAGCCAGCGATCGGTTCGGTATCGCATCCTAACGGAGTCATAAAATTGCACCTTGGTCCGATGGCAGCTGATGCGGGTCCCTCGTACCTCCCTACCCTTCCCTTCCTCCATTCAATACCATTCCCATTCCCATTCGCATTCGCATTCACATACTCATATCCATATTCGAATTCCCATTCGCTTTGTCGTTGTGCAGTCGTCGGGACATGTGCGAAAAGGAATCGGTATTGGAATCGGAAATTAGCGTATTCAGTGGGGAAATTAGCCAGAGCCTGATTATGCTGGTTGCAAATGAAATATCCTAAATTATGAGGCATTCACACTCGCACTCGCACTCGCACTCGCATCAACCTGCCTCTGCCTCTGGGCCCTGGACTATGGGGGTACCATCGAAAACATACAATATACAGTATAGAAAACGAGTGTTTCCTTGCCCTCATTCCCTCATTCTCTTCTCTGTTTGGGTATCCTTTTCTGCTGCCTCGTGGCACCTGTCTTCATTAGTTTGCTCTCCTTCGGAGCCCTCGATAAGCAATCAATAGAGGGAAACGCGAGGAGTCAGCCAGTGTCTGTTTGTCTACAGGTGCAAATGGCTGGCTGGTTGGCTGCCTGCTCCAATTTGTATCCAGCCAGTCGCTCCCTTAGGGCTGTACACATAATTCCAATGGCTTTTGCATATTGATTGGGCCTAATCCAGGCCACTTGTCGCAGGTACAGGTCCCTCTATAGCTCCATATTCATCTCCAGCTGCTGTCTCCGAAGTCTGGACCAGGCTGGAGGCGGAAAATGCGAGGGAAATACTTTCTGGTTCTACTGATCTTTTGCTTTAACAGTCCATATTGCTCCGGTTCGAGATGTGTAAAGCGTTATTTCTGGTTTCTTGAAGCATTCGATAAATTCTAGAAGTAAATGGTCACGTATCCCGATTGCGA